GCAGTCTGGGGAGCCCCACCCATTTCTCAGAGCTATTAGCAATGCTGGGGCATCAACCTCAATTAGGACTGCTGGTGGGAAGTTAATCACTACCTCAGCAATCTCAGGCAGGGAACACAGGCTTCAACGTCCTGAGCTATGAGTACTCAGGGATGTACGGTAGAGTGCATATGAGGGTGCAGACTCATTACTGCATGCTGTTTTTAGGGGGGGGGAAAGGTTGCCCCCTCCTATCTAGAAGTGTATACATCTCACCTTAACTTCCATCAGCTTACTATAAACAGGGCTACTTAAAGGGTAAGAAAATGAGGCAAATTCTACATAAATTAGGGCTTCTTCTCCAAGCAGCCCAATGAGCAGAGTCAGGGCTCCCCAGGGACTAAAGCAGCCCTCCTCAACCTGGCGCACTTGAGATGTGCTGAGCTACAACCCAGCATGGCTGGCTGAGGGACTCTGGTCTGGCAGATGTTGTTCAATACATCTGGAAGCAACGAAGATCAGACTAAAAACTAGACTGGTAAAGGCCAAAGAGAAGCTCGTTTGCTGATCTTAAGGGCTGGGGCTAAAAGCCCAACATTGAGGAGAAGGGCAAAGAGAACCTTGCTTAAGGGAATTTGAGAAGTAACAAGGTTTATGTGAATGCCAAAGTGCCAAATCACCAAATAACGGCCGTTACTGCCACCTAATAATGGCAAGTTACATCACAACAGCCATGACCACATACTTGCAGTTAAACCTTTATTGTGAGATAAGACTCATGATATCCTTTCAGGGTGCATATTTACCCACCACTGATCCCTCTCACATACTCCTAAAAAACTCACGCCACCCCCCAGAGCATGTAGTGAACCAGTCATTTCAACCTGTGCAAAAGCAAAAGGAGATATTCCAGATGAATCTTGCTGTGTTAAGACAGCAGCTAAACAGACTTCACATCTTAATACGAGGGAGGGGCTGGAATGGTCTGATGATTTGTCCTCTGCCCAAGTATAGTTCTTGTTCATTCCCAATACACCTGGGCAAATTTTTACAGGCTTGTGCAAAATGCAGTGTTTCTAGCATGCTGCTTTGATTATTCAAACCATCCTAGCAAGAAAAAACTAATGAATGAGGCATCTGCTTGCTGCAACCGTCTGCTCTGAAGGATTCCAAATCACTAGGGTGACAAAGAATATGGAACATACTCCATAGGATATAGATGACTGGTCCACCTGGGGCAGTACTGCTTGGCAGCAGCTCTTCAGAATTTCAGACAAAAGTCTTTCCTGTAGTTACCTGGAGATACTACTGACTGAATCTGGAACCATTTGCATACAGAACAAGGGCTCTGCCACTGAGCTGGAGGGATCCATATGTCCAGACATGTACTATCTAGTCCCAAGGTCTCCTGAGATCCTCTCATTTATATAGAAAGAGCCACAAAATTTCTTGAAACAATTGCATTCACCTAAGGTAACAGAACTCAAGTGGTTTTTGGGGGTAGTTGAGAGAGGCATCAATGGCTGCTAATACCAGGAAACGGAGATAGCAGTGAAGACCAGATAGGAGTGCTGAGCACCTGTTTGGTAGTAATTTCTTAATTTATGGGGAAGGGTGGGTAGTGAGAAGAGTATAAGGCATTGCACAGAAACTGTCAGCTGGGCAATTCCTTAAGATACCCGAACGGCCCTCTCCACTTTCACACTTATACAGAGTTAGCTATTTTAGGTCATTCGATACAATCCAAGGGGTCAGGCTAGTTCACAGAAGGTTGTTGCTATGGGATTTGAGAGAGACACATTAGGCACTGACACCCTATGGAACCCCAGGCAGGGGACATGGCACTCAGTTTTCAACAGGGGACGACACAAAGTTAAAATGCAGTCACAACACTAGGATAAAGAGGATGGTTACTAACTGAGCAATTCAGAACCTGAGGCTTCCCCTTAATGCATCAGGATAACAAGAGAGAAAAGTTTAACAGAGCTAAAACCACAATTGGCTGTTAGCAGCATGAAGCAACTCGCCGCCACCATTATTCTAGTCCATATCAGATACTGGCATTTTGTTCCTTTGTGTATTCACAACCTTGCCATAATCTCAGCAGCTGCCAGATCTCACTTTCAGATTGTGTAAGTAAAAGCTAAAACGAAGCAAGTTTTCTTAAGGATGCGATTGTCCTCTACCAGGTTTTTGGAGAGAAGACTGTCTCACAGTTGAAGTCAGCGCAACAACTCCTCTGTTCCTATTTGTGTGCTCTGAAGAGAAGAGTGGGAGGGGCTGCCCACTAACAAAGCTAGCAGCCAGGAACATTTATAGCATGCTTCTTAAGCTAGCCATCTCCACTTGTGCCTCCTCATTTTCAGTAAGAGCCAAGCTGGTTAAGAGGGACAGAAGAGAAAGAAAAGAATGTGCAGGAGGTGGAAATAAAAAGGCATACAAAAAAGGAGCTACAATTCATAGGATTCAAGGCAGGGATGGAGGGCTGCACTCAGCCTCTGGGCTGAATTCCATTTTCAGTAAGCTTTCAGGGGCCAGGTTCCAGAGGTGCACAAGGCTGAAGGCAAAACAGATGGGGCCAAAATAAAACATACCAGCACATTTTAACTTAAAGCTTTTACTGCCAGCAATATACAAGGAAAACTACTTCCACTACTGCTAACTTCTTGGGAATGAATTATTATATCCAGTGTGCCTGTTCTCCAGATCACCAGAGGGCCTCATTTTCTTCATGTCTGCCTAAACTTTCTTCCCCTAAGTGTCACCTGGGGGTAACGGATTGTAAATGCTCACTGCAATAAAATTTAGGTCCTCTGTTGCTTTGGTGCTATGTGGTCAAGAGATCTTGTGCACTGAGATTTGTACCACTTTTAAACAAAGGAAGTCTGTCCAGCACCTTTCTCCTAGAGGAACCAACCTTATCTGATATCATCTCCAACATACTGCAGTTTCCCAGGAGGTTAATCAGCCCCATATACCTCAGACAGGAATGGAGCCAGAAACAATGCTGTAACTTAAGCCAGATTTTAGGGGCAGGAGGGGCTGTGTTATTGGGACACACACTTCCATTGTCACACAGGGAAGTACACAGTACTTCGAAGCATTAATGTTGCCCCTGCTAATGGAGAACCAAATCTGTTTGGGAGCTGCAGCATAGCAGCTCAGCCTCCTTCTCTTCCTTGTCAATTTTTATCCAGTCATAACCTATGTGCTCCTCAGTGCAGAGTGAAGTAGTCATGGTGGGTTCAGAACTGGAAACAATAATGGAGGGTGGCCTTAACTACCTCAATAAGAAATACATGAAAGATGCTGGTACTGCTCTGTAAGACTCTGGTGCACCCACAACTGGATTACTGTGTCCAATCCTGGGCTCCACATTACAAGAGGGACACAGCAAGGTTGGAATCAGTTCAGGGCAGAGTCACAAGGATGGTAGCTAGATTGGGGAGGGTGCCATATGAGATGAGATTGAGGGAACTGGGACTTTTCAGCTTGGAGGAGACTCCAAGGGGATCTTATAGTGGCATACAGGTATGTGAAGGGGTGTCACATGGTGGAGGGTCATGACCTGTTCTCGCCTGTGGTGGAGGGAAGGACGTGATCCAATGGAGCAAAGCTAAAGGAACCAGACTTTAGGTTGGATGTCAGGAAGTACTTCCTGATGGTTAGGATCCCTAGGATATGGAATGGGCTTCCACAGGAGGTGGTGGAGGTCCCATCAGTGAGGACATTCAAGGAAAGTTTGGGCACCCACATGTTGGACATTATATGAGGAAAGCCAGCTCGTGCTGGGGGTCAGACTAGATGGCCCAGGAGACCCCTTCCGACTTGCTATGTTTCTATGTCGCTATAATCACCATTTTTGGCAAGTGGGGAAAACAAAAGGACTTCTCTTTTCAGTTAATAAAAATATCACTGCAAGCCAAAGTTGCCAGGTTCACCATCCAGAGTCATTCCTTGCATTACTTTAGCAGCTTCCTACAAGTAGCATCTAAACACAGATGGGAAATGCTCTTACGTGTCAAGGTTTCAGGTGTCAAGTAGATGATCATGCCAGTCTATTACTGCCTAGGGATATGGGCAGTAAATAGCCCATGCTCCCTGAAAGTACAAGTTCACCAACACATTCCAGGCATGTTTATACAACTGGAGAGTGTCCAATATCAGATTCAAACTATGCGCAAGAAAAGCATGACAGATTTGGACAAAACCTGAAGGGGCAGAATTATCCAGCAACAAAAGAGAAAGAGACAATGTTCAGCTGACCAGAGAAACAGAAGTGTGAGAATGCAGTACATAAAACAATGAACGTATACCTGAGCAATCTCAGGTGCTACATTTTAATGAAGTTTCCTTTAGGGGAGAAAGAAATTGAAGAATGATCTTGGATTTGTGCCTGTATTGGAGGGTTCATTACAGGAGAAAAAGGAATATCCACTCATGAGCATGCTCTGCTCATGAACACTGTTTAGAGGCAGCAGGTCAATGCACCTGACTAGAACCTTAAAAAGATGTTCTGCCTCCTTGGAGAAGCCAGCACCAATGGTTCCCTTGTGCTACACTTATACACACTGGAAGGCCTGTTTCTCAACAAAGTAACAAATAAGTAGAAAATACCTTCAAGGACTGAAGCATATGGACATAAGCTCTCACTGAGTAAGAATATTACATTAATACCCACCCCTGGCCATTTCTCTTAAGATCATGCACCAGGGCCTTTACATATCTGCCTGCTTTACTAGGGCTAGGTAAGACATTTTAAAGACTGCTTCCCACAGCACTTGGCTAAAAGGGGGCTGGTTTTCATGGTGAATGCATGGGACTTCTGACTGCAAGCTGACTACAAACATATACCAGACCTTGCCCCATGATAGCAGGGCTTTTCATAAACTGTTGCTGAAGTTGGCAGTGTCTGACCTAATCAAACATGTTGGCACTTAATAGTGAGAGGCACTTATGGCACAAGTGGTGAGGAAGATGGCATGGTCAAGAAACTACAAGGAACTCACACTAAAATTAAATAGGTTTTCCAAGCGTCTGTGTTTAGAAACTTCCTTTGCCATTAAAATAAAAAAAACTCTATACAGAATATTTGTCCCTTTTGACCATGTAAAGCATCTCTTCTTTGTCCCAACTCCCCCTCCAAAAAAAAAAAAGTTCTGCAGTGGGCATGCCGGACACGAGCTCCTCTCCATGCTTTCCATGCTGGCTTTCCTGACTTCCACTGAGGTAGGTCACAGATGCCCCTCCTGACACTGCAAGAGGGGGAAGTTGGCCACTCAGCTCAGTCCCTTGTCACTTTACCAGGCTGGAGTTGCTGAGGGCCAGCGGGAGCATTGATTTCTTGAGAGTTCCAGCTGTAAATTTAATCTGAGGTAAACTTTGAGTACAAGAGTTTGGCTCAGAGCTTCGGGATGACTCTTCTCCATCTCGCTGAACAAGAACTTTGCTGTTGGAAAGAAAGCAGAAGCTGAAAAAGTGATGCATCTCTATTCTACACACACTTTCTCCTGTAAGGCAAAGATTTCCAAAGCACACCAGCTTCACCAATCTGACCGAATCAGTGATCTTATTACTGCTGTGCCACTTCTGTCCCTGGTAGAAAACAAGGATTTGAGACATATGATTCCCTATTGCCTAGGTCTCATTATGCTAAAATTAATACTGAGATACAAGGAAGGAAACCAGAAACAATGGCTTGAATCCAAACTTAATCTTAAACTGTAGTTCAGTGTTACATGAGCCAGTGTGGTGTAGTGGTTAAGAGCATGGGACTGGGACTCAGACGACCTGGGTTCTAGTCCCCACTCGGCCATGGAGCCAACTGGGTGACTCTGGGCCAGTCACAGACTCTCAGCCCAACCCACCTCACAGGGATGTTGTGGGGATAAGATGGAGGAGGAGGTGTAAGCTGCCTTGAGCCCTTTGTAGGAAAAAGGCAGGATATAAATCCATCAATCAATCAAGCCTGCTTTTGAACACCACCACCACCCCACGCCACAGCTCAGAAAAAAGGCAGGAGTCATCTGCTTCTTGTTGCAATCTATACTGGTACATCCCAATTAGGAATTGTGACTAGTTTAAACTACAGTCTACTCCAGGGGCCTGGGGCATTCACAACATGGGGAAGAGAGGCACATAACCTGCATGCCACACACAAGTATATTTTCAGGGAGAAAAGAATGATCTGCATGAGGATCTCTGTGGAAGGGAAAGGAGGAATGGATATCTGCAGGAGCTTTCTGCATCAGGATAGCTGGGAAACAGGGAAGAAAAGGCACTCTGCTCCTTTCCCAGAGTGCTCCTTACAGATTGTTCTTCCCAACAAAGAGCAAAGCATGGTTAGTTTAACTCCAGAAGCAGATGCTTCCAATCTTCTCCACTGGTGCATGCCAGAAGAGAAGTACTTGAGCCCAAGGCTCAAGTGTGCTCATTCTTGTAGCACTAAACTATGATTTATGGGTGCATCCAGACCAGTAAGAACTACCAAATGAAAGATGGATAAATTCCATAAAGGAAGCCACAGTCTTCAGTTTACAAGAACTGAGCAGAGCAGTGAAGAATGGGACATTTGGGGGGACTCTCTTTTACAGGGTCACAGTAAGTCAGAAACAACTTGATGGCACATAACAGCAACAACAAAGAACTAAATAATCAAGATTGCAATTGTTCCATAGGTTTTATGTTATATATCAAATAGCATCATAAAATGTTTGAAGGTGGTGTAACATTAATAAAATAAAATCTTAAGATCATTTTAAAAATATATAAACAAGCTAAAACTGAAGTATCGTAACTGCAATCCTATCAACCATCACCTGGGAGCAAGCCCCATTGCATTGGCAGGGCTCGCTTTGGCATATGCATGCATAAGGCTGCTCCCTCAGGGGTGGGATTAAAAACCACTGCCAGACTCGCCAACCAGAAATGCACTGGATGAGGGATGGGACTCGCACTGTGTCCCTCACGTGAGGGACAGAGACATGGGAGCAATGTGCAAGAGTTCACATGAGGGGCCAGTGCTGAAGGCAAAAGCACGGCATTGGTGTGCAAGGTGGACATTTTGGTGATTGGCTGGGCACTATGCCAGATGGGTGATGGGCCAGGTGGTGCACATGTGAATCAGGGAGCAAGTGCCAGGAGGGAGGACAGGGGTGCCTCCTACAGCAGTGACCTCGGGAGCAGCTGTGTGTGGTGCTCCTGCCTGGTTCCTGCTCTGCGATGCCTATGGGGCCACCGTGCTACTCAGATGGGGACTCCGTGGAGCAGCAGGAAGAGAAAACAGCAGCCAGCTGAGAACACATCCAGGGGAGCCTGCAGGCCAATGCGGGGGAGACTGGTGATGCAGACAGGAGTGGTGCGCACTGGGACTGGTTTCCAGCCATGAGGCTAACGGGATGCATGCCGCCATTTGTAGGGAAGATGGAGGTATGCAGGAACTACCACACTTTGCAAATGTGTGATCACAGAACACACAGTAAGAAGGGACTTGGCAGTATTCCTTAACATTATATGTGAACACACCCCATGTCTGTTTATTTCACATCGTCTCACCTGGTTCTGCCTGACTCTGTCTTGCTCAAGCCATTCACCTGGAGATCATTTTTCAGGTAGAGGTGGGGTCTTGGCAGTGTCCACTGGAGTGAAGAAAGCACATGTGAGGTGAAACTTACAGACTGCTGAGATTCCTTCCCTCTCCAGAAGGCCCTGAAATCCCCAAAGTTATTGGATCAAGGGAAAGGAGCTCTGGGTTTGCATTTAAGCTATTTAATACATGCATTTTTTGTATAAATATTTATTTAGCACATTTCTAATCTGTTCAATAACTAATAGCCAGTTAAGAAAATAAAATGGCCCTTTAAAGCACATTTAAAATAAAATACACAACAACATTTAAAAGATTAAAATACAGTATAATGAAAAGCTATAAATAGCACAAAAATTGATAAAGCAGCAGAAAAAAGCCTCTAAAATGAATAAATCATTGCACCAAATATACACATGCCGAATTAGAAACAATCAGGGAAGTTGCAATTCTGATGAGCACCCTCATGAAAGGATAAAATAGAGCTAAGCTATTCCACCCTTACCATCACTGTGGAATCTGTCACTACTCCATTGTGATAGCCTTTGTAACACCAGTTTCTGAGCAGGTCCACCCCTGCAAAAGAAAAGCCACACAGTCACATGGAAGAGTGCAGAGGGGCAAACAATTGCACTGCCTGCAACCGCACATACAGCTGGTTTTCAGGCACACATGATAATATGCTCACAGCAGGAGAACTGAAGCAGCAGGGACAGGCCAGAAAGCTACCTGCCCAGTCTGCCTATTAAAGGATGGCCCAAATCACTCCTTAGGAGCAACCCATCCCTGGAATGAGGTAGTAGGCACTGATTTACCTTTGGCCTTATTCAAGAAGTATTTCAGCTCCCACTGGGCAGTAAGGATATTAAAGTATCGTGGCTGCTCAAAGAAGCGCAGGTAGTGCATGGATAAGCGTGAGGGGAAGACTCGCTCAAACTGCCCACGCCGAGCAAACTCATCCTCTGTCTCCACTAGGACACGTACGTCATCTGGAGTTAGGACATCCAGGATGGTGGAGTAGAATTCCTGCAGCCAAGAGTGACAGAGAAATACCTCCATATTCCAGAAGGCAAACATACAAGCCCACATTAATCCCACTCCTCTACCACCACTGCGAAATCCACCATTTTGGAATGGTCCTCCCACCAATGGACATTCCTCCCACAAGAGGAATGGAAAGACAGGAGAGAGCTATGAAAAAATGGAAATTTGTTTACTTAACATTTTTAAAGGATGTTTTAATAAGACTATAACAGATGCAGCAGACATGGACCAACTAAAGGAACATCATGTTGGCATGGTGAAAAAGTCAAAACATACCGGCATACTGGTATTCTACCATATGTTAAGCAAGTCATGGGATAAAAAAAAGTTGCCTGATCCATTGAGAGCTTTGTTAAATGGGTTTATAGACTGTACAGAAGATTGTGATATAGAAATGGGCATTAATTTATTTACTACTGCAAAAATCTCATACCTGTTCGATGAAAGACATAATTTGTGACTTTGCTACAAAGATTAAATTGACATATTTGTGCAAGAGAAAATCACCAGAAAATAATTTCGTTGAAAAATTAATTATATTCCCAACTGATAAATTTCAAAATAATGTTTGTACTCTCTCTTTTCATTAATATTAAGCTATGTGCTTGGGTTTACTGCAGATGCAGTTCATTTTTGATTGAATCTCTATATTTGCAATGTTTTTAAATTATAATTATAATTAATTAACTTTCTATTCCATCCACAGTGCAAGCTCTCTAAGTGGTTTACAACAATAATACATTTCAATAATTTTTTAAACAAAAAATTGAAATGGAAATTTGTTGGGAGTGAGAAATGCCCTTGCTACTGCTAAATCAGGCCACACGTAAAAGGCATGTGTACAAAGGAGAGATCTGATGCACTACTGCTTTAAGGCACACTATAATTTCTCTAATTACAAAAAGAAAAAATATACTGAACAATACATCTTGACATACTCTGGGTTGTATGCACCCACCTGGAGTGTCATTTTTGGTAAAAAGATTAAGTAAATAATTATGTTGGACGGGCTAAACATTTTGACATTAGGCTAGCATTTGCACTGATCATTAATTTTGTTTCTGGAAATAGCTGAAAATTTAGCTGATTTTGACTGCTTTTGGGTGGGGATAAGAACTTTAATTCTTGTTCAGCAACAAAGGCAGCCCAGTCATATCAATATACTAACACTGAACTCATTCTTTGAGTGATGCTGCTGCTGTAACCACCCACAAAGCACAAAACATTACCACCACTGTCCACTAGCATGAGGAGGAGGTGTCAGCACTATATACTGCAACATTTGGCAGTTGATCCCGTTTGCATGTACTAATAGTAAATGCAGATGCTGCGTTACAACAGCTGAATGTATCCAAGATTAGACTATGGAGACACAATTAGCCTACTGAGAGAAGCCCCAGGATTTACACAAGTAAACAAATATACAAGCACTCCAGAAACAGCCCAAAAAAGGACTAACTGCACCAAATGGCCATGGAATACTTGCCAACAGTTGAGGGGAGAGAGTGGGATGGAATAACATGGACGGGGCATGAGCTGACATAAGGAACATGAGAACTCTGCGGTGCAGTGCAACCTTTTGTTGCTAGACCTACTTGTAAATGCTATTACCCTGCTTGCTCAGGCCCCTTTTCTGATAAAAAGTGCTTGCTTGAGATCCAGCTACTCAAGCCAAAGGATAATGACCATGCAAAGAGCAGCAGAGGAGCTCAGGTTTGCACCTACCTTAGCAAGACAGGGGGATGGCAAAGGACAGTTGGGGAAGGCTTGCTTCACCTTGCCTACCTGATCAGGCACTTTCTGGGTCAGGTAATAAGCTTTCTTTGTCTTCTCAGCAATGAACATCTCTGCAGATGACCTGTTCTTCTCCTTCATGATACTATTCAAACTGGGCACAATGACAGTTGAAGTTAATACACAGAGATGCTCAAGCCTGGACCCTCTATTCAGCCATTTACAACCAAAATCTTCAGCCAGCAGGATGATGTATGGTGCGTTATTCAGAAACAGAACAGGCAACGCTTCAACGTGATGCTTGATACCTTTGAAACAGCATGCGCTAATGATGCAGGTCAGGGCCCAAGCAAAAAGCTTCCATCAGCCAGATGTGGCCCCCAGAATGTGGCCTGTCTCTGCTTGCACCAAGGGAACTTGCTACATTAAGATGAAATAAGGTCTTTCCCCTGAAGGTTGTGATGTGCTGGAACACACTGGGTGTACGATATACCTCAGCAGAGACAGAAACCTCCCTGCCCCGTAGCATACATTTGAGACTGTTCTATTGGCTCTGAGGCCATTTGATTGGCTGCTTATCCTTTGGTGATCCCTCTCTTCTTTTCAGCTGTTCATACGCAGCCCCAGACAGCACACTGATGCTATCCCTACTGACCTCCTAACCTGAGGTGCACAAGCACATGCACTCTGGCCCAGACCCATTTCCCTTCTTTGCCCACTGAGAGCCAGGGTTTGCAAGCAGGGCAGGTAAAGCCTCCCACACTTCTCAGGGACTGTTGTTTGTTCAGTGCTGCTAGCAGGGAGGAAATAGTTGTTTCAGAAACCAAGGAACCATATAACGCACCCAGACCTCAAAAGTGGGTGGGGCACTGCTGACCTGGGGAGCCCTAGATTGCACACCCCCATCTTAAATAAAGAGCCACCAGAAATCTTCAAAAAGCAAGCAGAGCACAGAATGGTCAGTAATTTCAAACATGGAATCAGGTGATAAGGAACCACTGATAAGGAAAGCACTTTTCTTCCTGATACACAAAGATAGAAGAAGCAGACAAAGGCCCAGGACAGATCAGAGCTGATTCTGATCTGCATCCAAAAATCAGAATGCAAGCTGTGGATTTGCAGAACAATGTGCTGCTCAATCCCATGCAGGTATACTTAAAAGTGAACCCTACTGTGTTCAACAGTCTTTAGGCAAAGGCAGTTAGGCACAGGTACCCTAAAGCAACTTGAATTCTAATCGAGTGTAATAGTTATGCCAAGTTACTCCTTTTGCATAAGCAGGCCTAATTTGTGCAATAAATAATGCACCATGGGCTGTTGTGTTATGCAGACTAGCCCATACTCTTTACGTTCATCCTATGGGCTCCATAAGAAAAATGTGACAATTCCCTCATGCTGATAAAAACTAGGTTCTCTAGAACTGTTACCATCTCAAGAAAGTCCTGGGCTGTGGCAGCTGAAAACAAGGATGCCATATAGCCATTGCCTGCAGTATTTGCATCATCCCCACCATAGTTTGTGCAAGAGAAGCCAAGGCTGCTGATTCTGAGGATTAGCCTGGAAGTACTGTTTATACCATGTCACCCACTAGTACAGCAAAATTAATGGAAAACAGGAATAATTCTGTGTCTACTCTAAACATAGATTTAAATTCTACACAAAGAAAAACTCAGTTTTGCAACCTGCACAAATGTATGCATATATCAACAGTGCTTTGTATAAATTAATCTACTTCTACTATCCTCGGAGCAGAACAAGAAGGGGAAAATACAAGCCAGCTACTAACTGCTATTATCCTGGCAATCTCACTCAGATAACTATAGTTGATAGCACTCATAAGGGAGGTTTTGGAAGCCTTGACGACACCTCTAGTCGGTAAGGTAGGGAGGCGGAGGAGAGTGCTGCCATGGATGCAAAAGGAGGTGGTTAGAGGGATTAGACGAAAGAGGAACCTCCATAGGAAATGGGTACTGGGGCAAATAGACAAAAGGGTATACTGGGAGCAGGAGGCCCATTGCAGAAGGATTCTTCGCAAGGCTAAGGCTGATTACCAGCTGAGACTTGCCAAGAATAGCAAGAGTAACAAAAAGGGCTTCTTTCAGCATGTAAATAGGAAGAGGAAGGGGAGACAAGTGGTGGGACAACTAAATAAGGAGGAAGGAGATCCAGTGACTGATATGAGGGAACAGGCACAGATGCTAAATGACTATTTTGCCTCTGTGTTCTCCCCAAAGTAGGACAGGAGATATCCGCATAGGAGATTAGATGAGACTGGGGACTTAGGGGCACAGATTAGAGTCACCCCCCTTGAAGTCGAGGGGCTCCTCAGGGCATTGGACATTACAAAGGCACCAGGCCCTGACGGGTTACACCCGAGAGTACTTAGAGAGTTGGCAGGGGTTCTCTCACGCCCGCTGGCCTCCATTTTTGAGACCTCGTGGAGAACGGGTGAAGATCCAGAGGACTGGAGGGTGGCATCAGTGGTCCCAATTTTCAAAAAGGGTAGTAGAAAGGACATGGGGAATTATAGACCAGTTAGCCTTACGTCCATTGTAGGAAAAACAATGGAAAGGCTCATAATAGAGAGAAATCTAGTGATGCTAGATAGGGAAGGGAGGCTGACAGCCACACAACACGGCTTCCGCAAAAACAGGTCCTGCCAGACAAACCTTGTGGAATTCTATGGCAAGGTTTCGCGATGGCTAGATGGAGGGGATGCAGTGGATGTGGTATACCTGGATTTCAGCAAGGCCTTTGACAAAGTGCCCCATGATATCCTGGTGGAGAAACTGAGGAGTTTTGGGATACACCAAAGCACTGTCTGGTGGATTAGGGCATGGATGACTGACCAAAAGCAGAAGGTAACCATTAGCGGGGAATCATCAGGATGGCGGCCAGTGACAAGCAAAGTCCCCCAGGGCTCTGTCCTGGGGCCGATCCTGTTTAATCTTTTAATTAACGACATGTAAGAAGGGGTGAACAGTCTGCTGATCAAATTCGCAGACGACACTAAAACTGGAGCAGTGGCCACAACTGAGGAACAGGTACTCCAGATCCAAAAGGATCTGGACAGACTATGGAAGTGGGCAGGAGACAACAGGATGGCGTTCAATGTGGATAAGTGCAAGGTTTTGCATTTGGGGCATAGGAATAGCTGTCATAAGTACAGGTTAGGTGACAAGTGGCTGGAGAACAGCACTTGTGAAAGGGACCTCGGGGTACTGGTTGACTGCAGGCTAAACATGAGTCAGCAGTGTGATGTGGTGGTCAAGAGGGCGAACGCCACCCTTGGTTGCATAGCCAGAAGTGTGGCTTCTAGATCAAGAGAGGTATTACTACCACTCTACACGACTCTGGTGCGCCTGCAACTGGAGTATTGTGTTCAGTTTTGGGCCCCTCATTACAGAAAGGATATAGCCAGGTTGGAGTCAGTGCAGCGCAGGGCCACAAGGTTGGTGGGCGGTTTGCAGGGGATGCCGTATGAGGCGAGACTGAGGGAACTGGGTCTCTTCAGCCTGGAGAAGAGGAGACTCAGAGGGGATATGTTAGCGACATACAGGTATGTGAGGGGATGTCACATGGAGATGGGTAGAGACCTGTTCTCCCCCTGCAGAGGAAAGCAGGACACGCTTCAATGGAGCAAAGCTCAGGGAGCCAAGGTTCCATTTGAATGCCAGGAAGCACTTCCTGACAGTCAGGACCCCAAGGGTGTGGAATGGGCTTCCACGAGAGGTCACTGAGGCCCCATTGGTGTGGGTTTTCAAGGACAGGTTGGACGTCCACATGGTGGGCATGTCGTGAACGGAGCCGGCTGGTGCCGGAGGTCAGACTAGATGGCCCGGGAGGCCCCTTCTGACTCGCTCTGTTTCTATGTTACCTTGGAAGCACTGCTTCCAAGATTTCACAATGCATTACCCAGGCTTTTGCAGTCATAGTGACAGGAAAGCTGCTTCAACGTTAAAGCAAAGAAAAAAGTGGTTCCTGGATGTTGACGTATGTGCCCAATTCAGTTTCAGTACTAGCGCAGTACTGAATATGCATCACTAGATCCATGTTTCAAAGATGAATTCATGCATATTACTGTCACAGCAACTTTACCCTACCACACACCAACAAGAAGAGGGCCACAGGCAAACTACTTTGAGTGTGCAATGTACCACCTCTGACCTGGTTGTAGAGCTGCTGGCACTTCCAGAGGGTGATGCCACATCTTCCGGACTCGGCAACAGAAAGCCAGCTAAGTTAAGGGCATCCCGGACCATTTGGCCTTTGATGCTTACATCTAGAGGAGAGTTTGAATGAAGGCTGCAGAGAGAAGGAGAATATTTTTTTTCAAACCTCAAACGGACAGGCACATCCTCAATTACTTTGCTCCGGGCTTTGATAGCTGTTAAGTTTGAATTACAGCTCTCCAGAATGGATGACAGGAGGAGTTCTGACTCCAATGCAAGACAGGCTGTATCCAATGTTAGTCCTACAAAAGTAGACCCACCTCCACTGTTCTCAAATTCCACTGCTTTACCATAGCTACACTCCTGGCCCTCCGTGATCCATAATCTCAATTCTTTGCTCTCTTCTGTAATGCTTCATGAACTTCTAGTTTCCCTTGCCTCTCTGAGGAGGGAGCCATAAGCACAAAACAAACAGTCTGTTCAACAAAAAACAGGTCTAACATGCATTGATGGATAACATACATCAGCAGTATCTACACTGCAGTGCTGGATGGCACATCTAGCACAGCTTACCTAGGAGAGATATTGACTTCCAGGATCCATGGCTTAAGGTTCTCATCCAGCATGACATCAAACCCAAAAAGCTCATGGCAACAGTAAGGGCGCCGTACATACATCTTTAGAAGGTTGGTTATGTAGGGCTCTGATCTGGAAGGCAAATGAAGAGTTTGGCTGCTCTTGAGAAGAAAACCTGCAGCAGAAGATGCTACTTCCTAGCATCTGCTCTGTTAAACAACCTAAGTGTGTGATCCTAGCAAGCCAAAAAAACAGAGTGTGAACAATGGCATCTCCATTCGGCTAAGGCAAGAGCCTCATGAAGGTCCTGTTCAGGATGCAATGTAAGTTATAAGATCCAGGCAAGACAGCATAGTCAAAATAATTTTTGGATCAAGAACCAAAGAACCCAGAACCAATATAAAGAAGAATCTGATTCCAGAGGTATAGAGGTATAAAAATTAAATCAACATATACAGTACCACAGAGGACAGCAAGCACTGATGGATGCCAGCAGATAAGAAAGCCAATAAAAAATAAACTGGAAAGCCAAATGTGTGTGTGGGGGGGTTGCTACCAAAAAACGGGGAGGAGCAAGAACATGATCTTAAAACTCACGCAATAATTGTTTTGACAACAATGTCTTTTATCTTCTCCCAGATGGCCTCGCTGTCGATTCCTTTCTGGGACAAATAGCTCCAGAGCGCCTTCAGTGCCCTGCAGAAATAGAGAATGTGTGTGTTCACACATGAGTGCATCAGCATTAATCCAGATAAATTCATGAACATCTCTTCCCTCATGTCTGAAAGAAAAAGGCAACATGGCTCTTTGCCTTTCTCTGCAACTATGGATTCACTTAACTCCTTTCTTTTGAAAAGAGAGGGACTACACCTCGGCTACTCAGAACTGTATCAACAAGAAAACCTCTGCTGACTGGGTGCCTTGAACAGCACAAATGGCATGAAGAGCTTTCCTTCCTGCTCAGTGATACTCACCACTTGTGACCTTCGCAAGCTGTTTCATCTGCATTGGATTTGTATTCAGTATTCTTCTTGTTGATACTGTAATTGGTCAGGTGCATATATTTGTTGTTGAGGCTCTTCATAGAGGAGGAATATCTGGGGTAAAAGAATAGCAGAATGTTCGCATGAAACACGGGTAAATCAGCGAAATGAATGGGAAGGGTATTTCTCTGGCAATGTAAGAGGTACAAGACAGAGCTACATCTTTCAGCATATTCTTTCTGCAGCATAGTCTCTCTCTCTCCACACACACACAGAATACTTCATTTAAAAAACCCAACCTATTCACCTGTGAATCATGAACTGGTGTTCGAAGCAGAAATCAACTTGACCCTCTTATTCAAGTTGTTAAATACCCACCCCCTCTTGTAAGCACTAATTTTGGAGGAACCTACTTGCAACTGGCAAAACGAACAAGTCCATCTTTGAACAAGTAGACACGAAGTGGATCATAGCATGTGACGTAAACATAAATCCTTAAGTCGAACTTACTGCCACCAATGAGGTAGGGTTTATGTATGTACCTGCAATGGGAAAAGAAGCAATGTGAACACAACACAGAAAGAACAGGCTTGAGTTTTAGTTTCAGGAAATTCAGGATTTTGCCGTCAGAGGACAGGCTTGATAAAAATGGATTTCACACTGCAATATGTGAGAGGCAACGGAAGAAACTTCAGCCTTCTCAAGACAGACCAGTCTATACCCCAGCTAAAGACTTCCACAGTCAGGTTTCTGAAGACACCTCAATACAGTAGTACCTTCATAACTTCCCTGCCCTTTAGTTGAAGGCAGAAGCAAAAGAAACCAGTTGAACAGAACAGCTTTAGTTCTATAAGGGTGGGAAGTATTATTGGAGACATGTCAGTTCTTTGAATATATCAAGAAATTATTCAGCTGCCTTGTTGGCTGGATGAAGAGAGACCAGTACACAGCATGTTTTAAGGGAAAATTTTCCTCACCTTTGCACCAGCAGTGGCCTGCGCTTTGGCAACTGGCTCCACTTATGGATAACTTGAATTCCAATGCCTCTAGCTGATGCTGGCTAAAATGAGAAAGAAAGATGCACATGATATCCATTTGCTACTTCTTTACAGTACAAAACTGGAGGATAGATCTGTTTTTGTACTGTCAGCTTTAAGACACATCACAAAGAGAGCTCACAAAGATCTCAATGTAGTTTTAAATTCAACTTCAATCAATGGAGGGAAAAATCCTACAGCCCAGAGAGAGCTTCTGAGAGGCAAGCGGTTATACAATAGTCAGGATTCTCAGCTCCAGAGTCAGAGAGGGCACTCTGTCTTCGGAACGGGGGAACAGCAGCACTGACCCCTTGTGGTCAGTATGGAAGGAAGCCTGCCTGCTGTCAGCTCTCTGAGGTGAAGCACATTCAGGGACTTGGAAAAGGAGGTGCTTCAGCAGAACTGGAAGGGCCAGGATACAAGGCATCTTGTGGCAAATCCAGCATCCTGTCCTCTCCCTCCAAAATACTTCAATCAGCTGGACAGGTGAAAATGCCCCACTAGCAGAAAATACAGGGCAGAAAGATGAGGATGCAAAGATCACTTCCACCACTCCTCCTCTCTGCACAGGATATCCATAAGTCTCAAAGTTCAAGGGCTTATGGGGCTTGCAATAGGACTGAGCCCAAAGGGCACTATCCTATGCATGTTTAGACAGAAAAAATATCCTATAACATCCAGCATTCCACAGCCAGCATGCTGAGAGATGCAGGACTCTTCTGTTTAAGCAAGCACAGGATTGTGCCTAAAATTAAGAAGGCAGAAAATTGTTTGACCTTTTAAACAGGCTTCATGAATAAAGGCTGAATATATTCACATGCTGGTATACAATAGTTTATTCTGTATAGACAGGATCAAATTCCTTTTTGCCACATGTAACATTCTCTGTAGAAGAGATGTGAAGACTTGAGTTAAAATGGGGAGATTGTGATGTCTGGAGACATTCCCGTTTTGTTTCCAAAAAGAATTGGGAAAAAAAGTATTACAAAATGTTTTATTTTAGAAAAATGATTGGGGCAAAAAGTTCATAAATTGCTATCTGGTCTTTACTTCCCAAAATGATTTTTAATTCTACATGGTATAAGACTAGAGATGCAAAGATCCTAAAAATTATGAAACTGTAAGAAGAAATGCAGTGCCACAAATCATGCTTAATTTCTCAACATGTGAGTCAAGCTGCTGTATAATACTCTGTCAAGGAAATGTGCATTCTTGACAATTTGGGGTTCACTTTATAGAGCTCTGCATTCCTGGGCATGTTCTGTTGAGATGCTGTAGCAGTCAATGAATGTAATTCTAAAACTGCTAAAGAAACTCTGTGGATTGTCCCAACTTTACCACCATACACGGGGCAAGAGAAAATAAATGGGTGGGTTATCCCACCTATTTTACATAAAAAAGAAAGACTTGGATCTATGAAACTCATCACCAGAGATTTTAATAAAGTATCCAAATAGATTTTAGAGAATCCTGCTACAACTATCAATTTTTACCCATAGGCACCAAAGAAAATCCTCTCTATCTAAGCACAACTCAATAGCCTGGTTCCTGTTGTTTAATAATAGCACTGCCACTACTGCTTGAGACAACCCTTCAAAAGATGCTTATTTTTAAGAGTAATTATTTACACAAGATAGTCAACTACCACTTTGCAAACAATAGCTTGAGTTTAGAGATTCCTAAATGTTTGATTACCATTGCAAATGGGTAAGAGGGTCTCCCCTAGCTAAATACGCCTTTAATGGCATTTCCTCTAGACTAGATTTCCCTGGTCTTTACACCAACCGCTTCCACACAAACAGGAACAGATGCAGTACACCAGCTTTCCTCTGCCATAAGCTCTTCCTGTTCCTCTGCTTTCTAGAATTTTTCAGGAGCTTTGCAGCTTGCTGAAGTTAACTTCAGTTAGACATAAAATAGGAACCAAAAATGTATTATATCTAATTAGGTGCGCTTATATTATCATGCTCATTCAGCCAATAATTACATATTAACTACATTTACATTTTAACGTTTTTAACGTTATTGATAATTTTATGAGAAAACTAAGTTATACATACTAACCAGAACAGAAGAAAATAAACCACAGAGGCTTATCTTCCCTCCCCACACATGCCGGTGGCAAGCCACCAACAGCTGTGGGTTGTCGTAGCACACAAACTGAGTAAACATAAATGACTGTGATTCATAAACCTCCCTGAAAACCAAGAGTTGTTCTAAGGTTAAAGATGGTTTGTAAACCATCCCAGCCACCAACACCTGCCAGACTGATGTTGTAACTACTAATGCCCAGATAATTAGGGGAGGAAAAACAAGTCACTGTGACTTATTTTCCCTTTGTAATCATGTGAACCAGCCCAATACATTTTAACTTCTTAAAGTAACTTCAGATTTGCAAAGAATGCTTTTTAAAAGTATTGCATGCTTTTCAATTTTTTCCCAAATTTTTATTTTTTCCAGAATCCCCTCTAAGGGAGATCTTTTTTTTTCGTTGACTTCAAAAGTCTAATGAACTTCTCAATTTAAGGAACATATCAAATCTTTAGTATTTCTGAAAACATGTTTGGATTCAGCTATGCTGCACAATTTAGATTGACTATTTAGTGCAAAAGGGTGGCATTTGCAAACATATTAGGAGTTTCTACTTTAAAAAACTATTTTAGTCCTAGTAGAAAGAGAAAAAATAATGAAGATAGAAACATTTTAAAGGTGCAGAGACCAAATGGGCTTTTTGTGCTCAGGGAGCAAAAAACCATTTAGCATTTACAATTCTGCTTGTCTAATTCATGCATCCCATCCTTCTCTCTTTATTCCTGTGTCATATCTTCACCTCAGAGAAAATGTATCTGGAAAACAAGCATGTACAGTTGCAAGAGGGGAACAGACGGGATGTGTTTGCATTGCTGGGATAGGCAGAGAACAGCACAGCTGTCCACAGCAAAGGACTCCAAAGAGCATCCATATCTGTATCAGAGTGTCTGTGGGCTCCCACCGGCTTCACAATCCATTTCTGGCGACTCCCACAATCTTCCCAAGCCTTCTTCAGCAGCTTGATATCTTGAGGGAGGATAAAGGACTGGGGCAGAAAGTTGAACTCCTTCTTCCCAAAGCGCTGCTGCATTTTGGACACATTTCTCCACAGACGGTCCTTCCGACCAATTTGAAAAGAGCCAGGAAAGTGGTTCAACTGCAGGGATGAAAGGCAAAAACTGAGCAATGAGGTTCCTGCTATCTCCTAGCTGGAACAGCTGAACAGCTCCTAGATTATCCTCTCTTCCAAATTCAGGGATGACCCTGAGAACCTGCTTTGCCCATGCTACCACCAAGCCCATCTGGTACTCCCTACAGATAGTTCAGAGCTATGCATGCTAGCACTCATGTGTTCACCACACTGCGTCTTGCAAATCAAGGCGTCTGCCCTCAAACCACAGCATGAAGGAAGTGGGTAAGAGAATATGGCAACAGAAAACAGGAAAGGATCAGTTGCATGCAGCATACAGATGGGGAAAACTGGAGAGAAGATCAGAGAGAAAGGACATAACTCATCTTCTCTCCTCACCTGCCACAATGTTCTTGTTGCATATGGCTGTATTTCATACCTTCTGATGCTCTCTGATAACCCTGAACCCAGGAGATTTCATGTGATGGCCCCAGCAGCCCAGCCAGTCATTGTTTCCTGTGGGCAATAGGGCAGTCCAGAGATGAATTATCTGAACATCATAACTGACAGTTTAAGTTTAGTCTCAGACAACTAAGAGTACAATTTGGCAAAAATAAATTGGAAATTTATGTCTGGCTAGCCCATGTTTTCCCTCCCACCAGAACCAAGGGTAGCACTGTACAAGAGACACTAAGCTTTGTGGGGAACTATACACAATTGCAGTATTATAGCATCGATATCACAGTGTATACTGTGAGGTCAAATCTCATTAAGTAAAACAGAAGGTCTGGCACTCCAGGTATTGGTAGACTAACTCCTATTAATTCAAGCAATGCAGCTAATCATGAAGGATGACAAGAATTGCCATCCAATAATTTGAGGGATCACATGTGCTCATCTCTACAGTAAAGGTGGGCAGCTAAGAGATGTGCTATTAAAGCCCATTACCGCTTTTCCTTGATCAACCACATCCTAACTAACCGTCCTTCTATTCAGGAGTGTGGGAAAAGGACTGGTGTATGTAGTAATACACAGGGCCCACAGTTGGTCACCAGTTGTTCCAATAAACTTGAAAAGATTTGCTAAAATGTATGCACAGCAGACAGCCTTTTATCCCATGTTGTGAACTCTCTTTCCTGCCCTCTGTAAGCACAGACCATGCTGCAGCTAGATGGCTCTAGCACCTCATGGCCTGGGACCACTGTAGTGAGAGCTGCCAAAGGGCCGTAAAGCAGAAGAGCTGCAAGAGCCAGCAGGCTTCCCCAAAACATGGCAGTCAAGTGTATGACCCACAATTAAATCTGATTTGCAGTGTCATGAAAAAAACCTCCGTGCAAAAGATGCACACTGGAGGAAACAATTCTGTGGGGTCTTCTGTTCTTTCTGCTACCCAGATCCACATCCTCAAAATGAGCCAATGAATTCCCAGACAACCTGTACTACCCCCCAAGGCAAAGCTGTGGACTTTCACAACTTTGGGTGTATCTAAGGCAGGAAGAAATATGCACCCACAGACCATTTCCATATTGAAAATGACTCACTCCTGCTAATTTTGAAGTGGGACCTGGCGACGGTTTGCTTCACAATGTTGGGAGTCACTGTACTCATCTTCCATCGCAGCATCTTCCTCTGTTCCCAAGGGAGCTTCTCCACTAGGAAGAAAGCAAACTCTAAGCTCTCTCTCTCTCCCCACTTCCCCCCACCCCACCAGGAGGGAGACAGGGGGAAAGCAACCCTTTTGATCCTCCTGGACCTCTCAGCAGCTTTTGACACCATCAACTATGGTTTCCTTCTGGCCAGTTGGTACTTGGTGGCACTGCTCCTGCCTGTCTGACCATCTCCAGACAGTGAAGTTGAGACACTGTTGCTCTGCGCCATAGTACTTGTACCATGGAGTCCTGCAGGGCTCCATTTTGTCCCCATACTTTTTAACATCTACATGAAAATGCTAGGAGGGGTCATCCAGAGGTTGGGCTGAAATGTCACCAATATGCAGATGACACTCAGCTCTACCTTTCATTCTCATCTTATCCAGGTGAGGCAGTGCCTGGGCTCACTAATGGACTGGATGAGGACCAGTCTGGACATTCCAACTAATTCAAAACAGAGCAATGTGGCTGTTAATGAAGACCAATACTAGATAACATATCACATCAGCTGCACTGGCTGCTTGTCACCTGGGCCCAATCCAAAGTGCTCATATTAACATATAAAGCCCTAAATGGCTTGGGGTCAGGATATCTGAAGGAATGCCTATCCCCATATATTTCTACCAGACCACTAAGATCTTCAGTGGAGGCCCTTTTTTATGAGCCAGCCCCTAATGAGCTAAAAGGGAAAAAGGCAAGGAGAAGGGCCTTTTCTGCTATTGCACCTCACTAGTGGAATGTCCTTCCCAAGAAGGTGCATTTGGCACCCTCATCACGTATATGCCACCATCAGGTTGAGACATTTTTATTTAATTCTTGTTTTTAATAGCTGATTGTTTTATTATGCCATTATTGCTGCTTTTTTGCTTTATGTTCTCCTATCTGGCATATTAGTTATTTGGAATTTCTGTTGGTTATTGCATTTAACTCTGTTTTATGGTCTTACAATTTTATGATGACTGTTTTAGTTCTCTCTGTAAGCCGCCCAGACAGCTTTTGGGCTATGGGGTGGCATACAAATGCAATGCATAATAAATATATGACTTATTTAAAATGACATCACCATATACATCCCACTGTCACCTCACACTATACTCTTCTGTTTAAGCTCCATGTCCACCCTGCACTAATACTTTCTGGCTTTGCCTGCTCCCTGCAACCAATTCAGATCCATCTTACCTCTCTCATCCCGGGTACCAAAATACAAGGTGGGAGACACAGTAGGGAACAGGCTGCATATGAGAGCTGGCTTGAGAATTCGCTCTTGCCCCTCAAGTGGAGGCACCAACCCCTCAATGCAATTCCTAGGAAAAGAAACAGGATTGCTCATATATGCAGCCACAGGACTAAAGAAGCCAACTGAAATACCAAGCAGAGTTGGGGGAACCAGCAGTGCAACACCTTTTCTGGGTTATCTGTTTCCATTATACCCAGTCAGGTTTAAGGTCTTTAACAACACAGGCTGGGAAAGTGAGCCTTGCTTCGCAGAGAAGCACTGACAAATGATGTTCTTCAGAAAAGGAAATTAAGCTGATTTCAGTGCAACTGCTTAGCTGCTGTTTCCCTTTGCAAAGTGTATTTCCAGGCAGTGTAAGCTGCCAAAACAAGCAGACCCTTTCCAAAGTCCTGTGCATGCCCACCGTTTGGGTTTAAGAACACAAGTGTCCAATACTGTGTTGACAGAAAACACATCTAGTCCTTTTCTGAAACCAACCTGGATATGATAGCCACAGAACCATTGGGAGATAAGCCAGATGATGATGAGCCATCTGATTCACCTGAAGAGACAGACGCAGATTGTTGATGGCATGAAACCTTGGCCACACTCCAGCAACACACTGATAAAATTCAACATCCTTTCCTTTTAATTCACAACAAAAATGGGTATACAAGTCCTTTGGGTGCTGCTTAACCATTAGTACCACTTATATCACAAGTGGGAAACCAACTTGCCTCATACATTGGCCAGAAAAGGAACAGCTTGTTTCAGTCTTCCTTGTCAGAAAAAAAATCCCAAAATAAACTTTGAAAGTAAGAACTGATGTCTGGTTTTTACTTTTTCTCCTTATTCCCAATTCTTTTTTTCCTTTTTGTATGGTATCTTTCAGATTGTAAACTTGAGGGCAGGAATTGTACTGAACCGGTGCCTGGCTGAGGTAATGGGCTGGATGAGGGCCAATAAACTGAAACTCAATCCAGATAAGACGGAGGTTCTGATGGTGGGTGATTCAAGCTCCTGGGTAGATGACTTGGGCCTTGCCCTGGACGGGGTTGCACTCCCTCTAAAGGACAGGGTCCACAGCTTGGGAGTGCTCCTCGACCCGGAGCTGTCCTTGGAAGCTCAAGTGACAGCGGTGGCAAAGAGCGCTTTCCTTCAGCTTCGGCTAATCCATCAGCTGCGTCCCTACCTGGAGGAAGATTGCCTAGCAACAGTAACACACACATTGGTTACTTCCCGGTTGGACTTCTGTAATGTGCTTTATGTGGGGCTGCTCTCGAAGACAGTCCGGATACTTCAGATGGTGCAAAACAGAGCTGCCAGGATGCTGTTGGGGACTGGGCGTTATTCTCATATAACCCCAGTCCTCTATCAGTTCCATTGGCTTCCCATCAAAGTCCGGGCTCTATTCAAGGTGCTGGTTATTACCTATAAAGCCCTAAATGGCTTGGGATCAGGATACCTAAAGGAAAGCCTTCTTCCCTATTTGCCCTCCCGCCCCGAGATCGGCAGCAGAAGCCCTCCTCCAGAAACCCTCTGTGAAAGATATTAGGAGACAGAGTACCCAGAGGAGGGCCTTCTCTGCTGTGGTGCCCCATCTATGGAATGAGCTCCCCAGAGAGGTCCGCCTGGCGCCGTCATTATATGTTTTTCGGTGCCAGGTTAAGATCTTTTTATTTAATCAATATTTTAACAAGTTTTAATATTGAATTTTATTACCATATTTTAATTGCAGCCAGAGTGGGTTGTTAATTTATGTTATACTTTTATGTATTGGTATTTTATTTGTGTAAGCCGTCCTGAGGCTCTCACAAAGGGCGGCATACAAATATCTTAAATAAATAAAATAAAATAATTGTCTCATTATTTGTCTTTTTAAGCTGCTCTAAGAGGTTTCTTTTAGCTGAAAAGTGGGATTTAAAAACTGTAAATAAATATGGCAAGAGACTATGCAATTGACCCAAATACCTCTCCTGACACTCCAAGTAGTTCCCATATGGCTGAAAGAACACCTTAATTACTGCAGCACATAAGTTCTGTGCAATGGCTTCAGAGCAGGCTTGGTATCCTTTAGAATGAAGAATGAAGTTAAAGATAGTCAGTATCTGCCTGTTCTGTAACATAGTCTTGAAATCCCCAAGATTAAGGTGGAAAAAGGTAAAATATTTCTTTACACAAAGCATTGCCCACTGCTTCATATCCCAAAACTCAAGGCCTTTTCACCTTCTATTTAAATAAGGATATCCTAAGAGTGATAAGCATCGGTGCAATTTTTTTATTAAATATGACATTTCAAAACACAGATAAATATAATAACTATATTAATGTATTCTTAAGCTAATAAAGAATAATGAACATTTCTGGTTTATACATCACAATATTAAGAAAAACCAGGACAGTCTAAGCATAGTTTTCTTCCAACCCTTTGAGGTAGTAATTGCCCTAGAATGAGTCAGGGCTAATAAGGAGAATGCTCTTCTGAACAGCAGCAAGGTATTTAGCAGAACAAAATCCCCTCTCCCTAATATGTATTGAGTTTAGAATATTCTTAGCATGGACACTGAGGGCACAATCTTCAAGATCAACTGGCTATGGCGATATAAGATTTTGTAGAAGCTTCATCACTATGACACACAGTCCAACAGAATAACTCAAAGAGTGTAAAAGTCCAGGATTACAGGTTTAACCCTCTTGGGATAAGCACATATAGGAGACAGCAATTATTCTTCTTGCATAGCAGTGGCCTTTCCTGCCCCCACCATAATTCAAGCATAGATTTACTCTAGGTATTAAAGTATTGCTACTGAAAAACACTAGAAAATTCAAGAAATTGGCTAACTCACTTTCCACTGTTTTAAGAAATGTCAAAGAAGAGCTTGTTTTAGGATCAATTAAAATCATGTTACCATATACTGGAACAGAACAGAACAAGAAACTTAAAAGATCCAACTCACTTTCTCCCTTAAAGAGAGGTTAACTAGTTAATTCACAAATGAAATATTCATAAATGTATGTGAAATATATAGGCTAAAGGTACCCAGGTGGTAAATTATTCTATTCATGTTAGCAGTAGTTCTGGTTGCAATAAATCTTTCATTACGTTTCTTTCTCTCCCAGTATTATATTATGAATGCATATGTGTTGTCCTGATGCCAATAGTAAATATTTACTACTGTGACAGGAATCTTTTAAGTTTTTAATAGATTTGAACGGTGTCTTGAAATGCTAATAAGAGTATTTTGAACAGGATGAGCTTGCATGTTGAAGAAAATAAGTGCTAAAAACCACTGACCTTCCCCATCCTCCTCTTCCACCTCTTCATCTTGACTGCAAGCATCTTCTAAGCCATCAGGGAGTTCTTCCTCCACATCTTCCACTTCTGCTTGGTCCAGCACGGGCAAACTGACTGCAGCTCTACAACACAAAAGCTTATAGCCACAAGTGGAACCCTCAAGGAGCTCAGATATGGTCTTGTAATTCCTGCTCAGTGATGATGGCAAGGAATTATTTACAACCAACACGCTGGGATGAAGCACTCCCTAGACAAGAGCAAACAAAGCAAAGGCATCCCAAATAGCTATTTCTAGGCCCATTCTCCACTATCTTTTTCATTTGTGGAAGTTAATAAGAACCACAGCACTGAGCACATTGCTGCACTTCAGTTCATTCCCAGGATTAAGGGGAAGCTTCAGGCTTGGCTGCTTTCCTATATGACTATTACCTCCCCAAACAAAATGGTACATGCAGCTACAATGTTCTCCTTACACTGAAGCAAAATAAGACATTGGCAGCTTACCATGTAGGCAAGGTTGAGTCACTTACTGCTGTGTAAAAGAGACAGAAACTGGAAGCAGAGGAAGGGAAGAAAGGCTACTCACATACTTGTCAAAAAGTTGTCTACCAATAATAACAATAATTGTCAACTCTGATTTAAGAGTTGTTTTTAAGAGAGTGATAAAACTATAAAGCTAGCAGAAAGATGGTAAGGATTAGGTTAGTAAATGCAATAGAAAAAAATAGTATTATGGATTCCTGCTTACGTGAAGTATACCATATGAGGGAAAACAGAAATATCCTGATAGAATGCTGTTCAGCTCATCCTATACCTTATCACATCAAGCCCTTACCTAGGGATGCTGGAGGAAACACTGTGCCAGCACAAGAGACATATCTACCATAGTACTTACTCAGTATCTTTCATAGTAGTAGGCTGCCCCCAATTTGTATCTGTGCCCAACTGGAGAGAGGAAATTTTTGTCTCTACCTCAGAGACAGCAGTTCGTGGGGATAGCTCTGTTTTTAGCACCTGTTCTGCAGTGTTCACCGATGGAGAGCTGACTGATTGACTTGAGGTGCTGTGGTTGGAAGGTTCAGGATTTGAGCCAAGGAAACGCAAAGCAACACGATTACTGCAGACATCAGCAACTTCAGTGCCTGAAAGGCTCTGGTGGCAACTACCAGGCTCCAGATTCAAGGAGGTGGCAGCTGGTACTTCCTTTGGAGTGATCTGTGCTACAATGTGTGGTTTCCATCGACTGAACAGACTGGAATGGAAGTTTGTATTCATAAAACAGGAGTTGTCAATGCGGTGACCAAATTCATTGAATGTACTAACCTTCCGGATACCACTTGAAGTCAGCTTCCTCATGGCTTCCATCAACCGCACATCTTGTTCTTTCAGGTTCTGTGACCTATTTTCACCGTCCTCAAGTCTCCAAGAGGGGCGTTCTGCTTTGGGAACCAGACCATTGTGTACAGGTGAGCGAGAAGATTTGGCACTAACTTGTTCAAGAGAGTAGCTGCTGCCTTTCCCAAATTTCCTCTCAAAGTTCACAGGAGAGCCATCCCCATTTCCTCCAGAATGGGTCCACGAGAATCCCGGAGGCCTTGAAAAGCCTTTGAGCTTCTTGTTTTCTGGTGGCAGCGGTAGATGGGGGTGCTGCAAAGGCACTTTAGCACTAGTTGGCCTCAGGAAAGAGTTGTTGTTCAGCACTGGTCTATATGCACTGGAGCCCTGCTTCCCTGAGCCGAGAGGAAACCCTTTTGACACTGGACTGGAGTGCCCACCAACAGTATTAGGCAGAAGGCATGGATCCACAGTTGATGATGACATGGTGTTGCTGAGAACAGACCGGTAAGTAGGTGGGGGTGGGATGCGAAGAGGTTTTGTCTCCAAAGTACTAGGCTGCAAGCAGATGGACTCAAGCCGCCGGTATGGCTTGTGTCTGAAGTAAGAGCGCCGATACAGCAAGGTGCTACCAAGAAAGTTTGGGAGAGAGTGGGGCTGAGGTGGAGGTGGGCTCAGAAGAACTGCCTCACTACATAACGATTCTGGATATAAAAGACGGGGATGCTGCGAAGAGATCCCTGAGTGGATCTGGTGATGATCCAGAAAAGTAGTCACATGATTATATTCCAGCTGCCAAATGGGCTTCACCTGCTGCTTAGCAAGGTACCAGGCCTTATTCTCATGAAGTTTTGCTGTGAGTGGAGGCACTGTCAGCCCTGATGAAAGGCCCACCGGGAACTGGTTCCCCCTCTTGAGGCTTAGGCTATAGGCATCTGGCCCTACTGAGGCCATGTAGAGCCATCCCACACCCTCAATGTGTACAGCCGGTGAACAGAAGTCAGTCAGAGAGGCATCTTTACCATGAACAGCCTGAAAAACAAAAACACAGTAATCACGCGAAGGTCCAGAGAAGAGCTGTAACAAACCATTTCAGAATCTGTCCCTTTTGCACCTGCAAACTTCCGTGCTCTGCCAGATCCTGCAAAGCAAGCCAAGCCAAGCCGTCTTCGAATGTTTGCAGAGCCCCAGTTGCGCAACCAGCAACCTCCCGCATCAGGTACAGTCACCCAAAGAGCAGCTGCAGGATAAGAGGGGACCTGCAAGTGGTTGCACCAGGTGCCATTCCTGGTAATCAACCTTCTTCTGCCCTTGGGGCAGTTGGCAGAAACAGCACTGGGCACTGCTTGTACAGTGTGTGAGGATCGGTTTCTGGTGAGTGCCCACCGAACACTGGGAAATCTTGCCAGGAACTCAGGCTCATAACCTCTGCAAAGCAGACTGGAGTCCAGGGAGCTGAGCCCAGAGAATCCAACGGAGTCCCAGCCCCAAATGGATTCCTTGAACATCCCTAGTCCAGAGCAATCATTCTACTATGACCTTCTTTATCATTGCGACTAAGGTTTACATAATCGCCATAGTCCATGGTGCTGCTGTGGTCCGCAGTAGATTGCAGTATGTGCCAGTAACCACAGGGACTATTCAAGCCATGGTGGGCACTCTTGGTAGCTTATTGTAATATACAAACCTGGAACAGGGTTGATTTTTGCCATAGTTAACAAACTACCCACAACTCCGAAAGAGCCCATGGGTTGGGGGTGCTTTGTTAACCATGGCAACAACCCACCATCACTGGATGCAGATGTCAAGATAAGCTGCATCCTATTCATAATAGCTGCTGGCATATACCACAATCCATCATGGCTTAAATTAAGTCAAGTGGGCTGCCCATAATAATGCAAACTGGCCTAATGACTAATGAATGGCAGAGCCATGAAGAACAGCAAAGTTTCTGGAGGGCAAATTACTTACAAAAAAACTATAGAAAAGAACTGCATCACTGGGAAGTCTTCTTCTACAAAGGAAAGAATGGCCCAAATGTTTTGAAGTTCAAACAAGGCAACAGAATTTAATGCATGGGTCCTCAAACTAAGGCCTGCGGACCGGATCCGGCCCGCCATGCCCATTTAACCAGCCTGTCCCACAGGTTTTGCACTTGCCGGGCACGTGCGGGCGCGTGGCTTGCTCGTGAGGAGGTCATTTTGGACTAGCTCTGAGAAAATGATCTCCTTGTGAGCAAGCTGGTGCCTCGCCCTGCACGCCTCCCTGCTGGCACCACCTTGGCGGCACGCACCCACTGCTGGCATCTGTCAACTTGCCCCCTTTAGAAAAGGTTTGAGGACCCCTGGTTTAACGTGTTAAACATTTGTTTATAATGGAAACAGCCCACCTGCATAGCTATATACCAAGGTAGCATGTTGAGTCACCTTTGCTAAGCTGCAAAGGCAAGGGCCTGCAGCCAGATGGGTGACCATATGTTGAAGTGGAGCAGGGGGTTGGACTCAGTGGCCTTATAGGCCCCTTCCAACTCTACTGCTTTGCTATGCTATATGAGCAGTAAGTAAGCAGTGTTCCTGCTTATGGAAAGAATGAGAAATAAACACTTAAGTATAAGATTTCATCTTGTGCTAGCTAGTGTTTTTATTTTTATGTAAGAAAGGGTGTTCAAACAGTGACTGTTAAAACTGAGGACAGAGCTTCAGAGTAGCTATCAAAAAATCACAGAGTTTATGCTACTTATAAAAGGTACAATGTACAATTCACTTGCATCAAGCAATTGTTTGCCTCCAACTTGGAGTCACAGCAAGCAAATATAACATGAGTAGATGTGTAAATATGGTGCCAAGTCCCATGCTAAAAAGCAGCTAGTTCTGTTATTAAACATTCACCTCTTGTATCAGCAGCATTGCTAACTCATCTTCATTATTTGATACACTGGCATTAAGTGGCTTATTTCTCCACTGCTCTTCCACTTGCACAATATAACCTCAGGAATAAGGTCTCTTATGCAGGGTCTCTTATGAAGACAAAGGAAATCTGACAATTTAATTACAAAGTTACTACTGGTGGGCTGGATGTTTCTTTGCTGCAGATGCCTGCCCACTCAGAGGCAGTGCCCAAAGAATGAAGTCTTACTTTTAAGCATACAGCCTGTTTTCCAATACACCAACAGAGGCAGCAAGAGGCACAAGGAAAACCTGCCCCAATTTCAGCTCTGTTACACCCACCAATTTTCAAATGACATAGCTAATGAAGATTAGTAAAGAGATGACTGGCTTTTTCATCTTTTAGCATCTAGAGAGCTTACCAGGCAAACTGTTTAAACAGATGATAGCATTTTTAAAGGTGGGAAGGGGAAAAGGACATCAGGGCATACACATGCAATACTTGTGAAAAGAACCAAAATGCCTATGATGTACGTATGGTGATCCAGAGGAAAGTGGTCACACATTCATTGCCTTGTAAGCAGGTAGCATGCAGAGTCCTTGGAAAACAAAGATACTGATACAGAACACTGAGAAGATATTACTCCGCACAGCCAAAAATGCAGTTGCCCTGGGCAGACAGCCCATCCCAGAGCAGACTATTCATGAAGCTCACAGAATTAGCAACAGTGTATATAACAGTATACTAGAATCCATACTAGATTATATTAGAAACTATAAACAGTGTATTAGATGGACACTCCATGCAGCTTGAAATAGACCTACATCAGACAGCTTGTCTCTTAACTCAATTTTAAAAAATGGCTCTTGTGTCTGGACATATTTTAGGCTCCTAGCAGTACATTTTCCTTGCAAAATACTGAAGTCCCAGAAATAACATTTCAGAGTTAGTATACTAGGCACCCACCATCAATATACAGCCTCTAAGATCTTAGTTCACAAAGATGATCTTTGCTCTGACAATAACTTCTGTGCTATCCCAAAGCAAACAGCTTCTGTATCAAGAAAACTGCCAACACCAACATTCTAGAACAGGACTTTGTGTACTATTGTGGCTCTAGGCTGGAGTGTGCTGCCTGCCTTCAGATGAACTCTTAGACATTTCATCAACACACACCATCTCACAGGACCATCTTGGAAGACTGGTTTCTCCTATTCCAAACCTGTTAGAGTTTGTTAGCCAAGGGTTAGTGTACTTGAGAACCTAGAGATAAACAACAGTGCTGCTATCTGCTGCTGAAAGACCTTGTCTCCAGTACTCATCCATTTCCCGTCATGGATTGCCAGTGCAGCTGTGCTCCAGTTTAGAAGGTGGCACTTGATACAGCTGCATGTATTGGATTACCCGCTCTACACCCAGCAACAAATTCCAACCTGTAGTGACATCCAACTCCTACAGGCAGATTAGAATAAAAACAAAGAGACTACACTGAGCTACTAGCACTTGGAAAGATAGAATTTCCTCTTGTAAACAGGTTGCTTGCTCTCTGCCAAGTACTGTTCCTCCTGTAGTTTCTAAAGAAAAATTGACACCAAACATTTCTGAGAAACCAACCAAACAAAAAGAGCACAGCAGTAAGATGATGCAATTACAGAACCAGAAGATTCTTCAGGATCCATCTAGACTCCTCTAGCTCTATTTCTCGAAGGGTTGTCCTCTGGGATGCTTTTCCAATCTTCTTAAACATTCCTTGGAAGGAGGTTTCCTTCCACCCTCAGCTAAGGTGAGGTTGTCAGGTGAGCAATTCTGGAGCACCATTAAAAGGCAGCAAATAGGCTGTTATTGTATGTTCCTTATTATGCAGAAAGCTATTTGAATTTTCTACCTAAAGATACCAAAATATAAAATGGGCCACCTCAGGCTATATGATCTTTCTTAAAGACTTGCTTATTTGAGCAGATGCCCCGATTTCAGAATGTAACAGATCCTCCTACATTCAGAAAGTTCAAATAGCTTTTTCAGATTAAAAGCATAGAATTCTACCAAGATAACTGAATATTTCCCTGCTTTTCCATAAATTTTAGTTATTATAGGACTTGAATGGTATATGAAGGTAGACTCAATAGCACTTCCCTCCACGCATCTCATAAAAACACTAATGCAAATATGGCCCACTGCTATGCATAATCAAGATTACTTGACGAGCAAGCAATTATGCAGAAGTTTTAAGTGTACCACAGCAACCCTGCAAATTTTCACTTGTTCCTAATAAACAGGATTTGAATAACGGCTACTGTATTTTACAAAAAAAATAAAAGGTGCTCCTTTCTTGACAAAAAAGAATAGGTCTCAGCCAAGTCTCTCAGAGAAATAGCGCATTACTCCCTTGATCATCACAGCAGTTTTCAAACGCAGTTTAGGAGGATTTACCAGGGAAATGGAACCCTAATAACCATCTATTATTCACAGCCAAGATTTCTCCAAGGAGTGCTGTCACCATGGAAGTGATTTCTCAGAATTGCCCACCAGTCTTAATATGGTGCACATCGTAATAAAAGAAGTTGTGCAATAAGCAGTTGATGGCTCTTTAAAGTGCAAAAATTGTAATGCTAACAGGGCTTATTTTTCTAATATTTTAAAGCTGCGTACTAAAGGCACATTGATTGATTCTCTCTCCACCCCATGAATCCTTCAAAGTTCCTGCACTCTCACTAGAAATGCTGCCAGGAAGAGTCATTCCTTTCTTGTTGCTGTATTAAATGTTTTAAGGAATAGAATGGTGCTTGCATTCTGTTAAAACCAGGTGCAAGAACTCACCACCATGTCACCCTAATATTAACCTCAGAGACCTGTAAACAGATTACTTGTTTGGATTGATACTCCCCTGAAGAAAAACCAGAAATATAGATGGAGTGTTCCTTGAAAAAAAGTTTATGCCACAAATAAAACAAGGTAGATTGGACAGTAGATGATGTTTGAACAGTATACCAAACAAACCAAGGATTTCTAGTTGTTGCTATGACTTCCTATAATGAAGAAACAAAACATGAAAAACAAACTGTTTCTCAGTAATCCTGAAAAGTACATAGAAAGCTGTGAAATGCTTAACAGGTCCTAGCTTGCCTTTCTGCAGCTCTGAGTACATGGCATTACTGGAAGGTCACAGAATTGACTAACAGATAAGCTGATTTTCCTTACTATCCAGGTAAAATAAAGTGCATCTTCTACCATCATAGTCAATAGTAAAGTATCACTCACCAGCAAGACATTTTTATATCAAACACAAGCTCAGCCACAACACTTCTGTACCTCATTGTTTTTCTCTGTTGTTACCACCCCCCATTTCTCTGTCTCTTTTCTTGCTATAATTGTAACTCTTCTCTCATGCTCTCCCTGTTTTATGGAAGCTTGTGTAGTTTTGTCTCCTCTTCATGTCATAAAACTTCCTACACCCAACTTCCTTTACCTGAAACCAATTTCCTGCTTTCAGTTTGTCCAACATGTTCCACTCTTTAAAATCTTCCTCAAATTCCACATCACCAACAAAGTATTTCAAGAAATCTCTCCTAATCTCCTTATGTTATTGGTACTAGTCACACATGCTTCTTCTCCAGTGATCTGCATAGAAAGAAGACTACAAACCACCTGGGCAGATGCTGTCATGTGCAAATTCTGCAAAGTACCCAGCACACTGCTGAGATTCATTCAATGCTAAATAGTAATGAATTAAGTATCCCAATCACTACACATGGGGAAATGCTAACCAAATCTCAATTCAGACTTTCCAATATACCACAAATGAAACACTCAAGGTTTTCCTAGCCAGAGGCTTGCTGTACTCAGTAACTTGTTACTGAGTACAGCAAGTTTGGTACAGCAACTGGTGAGAACTGCTCTCATACACTGTTGTACACACACACACACACACACCTCAAATCAGCCTGTGTGAGAAACTAGAATGATCTGTGGCTGGACCCAGCTGAAGATAAAATTAGATTAACATAACATGGCTTGTGTCCAGTGGCACACTTCTGCTTGAGGGAGGTCTTATGATCCAGCGGAGGTCTCCATAAATGGAAAAGGGAGGGAAGGGGAGGGAAAGTGACTTTCTAGGAAAGCTGGGAAAGAAATTGGCCAATCTGTTCCAGAGTGCTGAGTGTCTGAGAACAGCATGGCAGGTGATACAGGATGCTGAGAGGAGGATTCTGTAAAAACAGTCTTCCATTTCCGTTACATCAAATTCTTTGCCAGATACAACTGGAGAATCCTTGACAGATGGTCATCCAAGTCTTTGATTAGAATGCCTCCTCCAGTAAAGAACCACCAAGTTCGCCCTGAGGAAATCTGTTCCCTTGTGGAACAACCCTTTGCTACTCAGTTGTCCTTCCTAGTGTCTAGCCAAAATATGCTTCCCTGTAGTATGAATCTATTGATTCAAGCCACAACTCCTGAAACAACAAAGCACATACAACAAGCCAGTATAGTGCAATGGTTAGAGTGCTGCACTGGAAGTCAGGAGATCTAGGTTCTAGTTCCCATGCAGCCACTGAGCTCACTGGGTGACACTGGGCCAGTCAGACTTTCAGTCTAACCTACCTAACCATGTTGTTGTGAGGATAAAAAATAGAGGAGGAAAACATAAGTCACCTTGGGTTCCTTGCAAGAGAAAGAAAGGTGGAATGTAAATGCAATGTAATAATAAGCCTGACCTATCTTCTGTATAACAGCCTTTCAGATATTTGAAGACAATCATATCTCCCCTTAGCCTTTTATATTCCAAACTAAACATATCCAGTTCTTTAAATTGCTTCTCATAGTACTTGGTTTCCAAGATGCCTCACCATCTTGGCTACCCCTCTGCTTAATTTCCTCCATTTTATCAGTGTAGTTTTTTTAAAATGATGCACCCAGAACTGGACACAGTCCTCCACTTGTAGTTTGACCAGTACAGAATGGAGAAGAATATCGTTTCTTGTAACCTAGATATTATGCTCAGGGTAATACAACTTAATATTGCATTAATTTACTTAGAAGCTGCATTGGACTGCTGGCTAATGTAGTGCTTCATTAAATTGCCAAGGTCCTTTTCCTAAGTACTTAGTATAGTGGGCTATATTTCTTCTTTCTCCAAAATGTTAATATTACAGTTCATATGAATAATGAAAAAGGGCTAGGACAACAGCAAACATCTTATACCTAGAATCAGTTTTGCTAAATATATCACTCTGACTAGATATATGAGTTCTGCTAAATATATCACTCTGACGGGTGGGAATTTCAGCCCAGACCTGGTGGAAGTACTTCAGTAAATCACTTTTTCTCTCAGTTTTACCTCACAATCTGTTTAAAAAAAGAAATGAAAAGCCTAGCAGGCTACTGGGAGAATTATGACAAAAGTGGTCACGTTATTTTAAACACAAGAAAATGCATCCCCACCAACAGCAAAATGTACAACAAAATTGAGTAATACATCTATGAGTCAGTGAACACCAATAAAGTACCTGCCCACATTTATCATGTGAAACAGCCCATCCTCATTGAACCAGCATTCCAGAAGAACAAGCCTGCCATTGGGTCGTGAGCTTTTCACACGGGCCATAGATTTGACCCAAAAACTGGCAAGGAAGAGATGCCGATGACTCACTCACAGCTTAAGAAAGGCCAGTCGCAGAAGAGACCACCACTCTTAATGCTATTAAGACGTACACTCAAATGACCCACGCTCCACCCGCACCATCTTGAAGGGCTCTTCAGCGCACACTTCTGCATACGTGTTTGATCACGGGAATTCCTTTTAACCCACCACTCCTTAAACCAAGAATACAAAAACGCAACTTTCTTAAAACTACCCCGGGGGTGATAGGGCAAGGGGCGAAGGTGAGGACGACTAAAGAAGGTGTACGTACAACACAGAGGCATGCCCCAAGAAAAGGAGCCCAACACACGCGACGGAGAGAAAGAGGGCAGCAGTCTTCCAAATGAGCACCGGCTGCTTAATTCAGACTATCTCGAGTATCACATGAACGCCTGCGAAAAAGAGCCCGGTACTTTAACCCTCACTCTGAGGCAGGACCGGCTCAAACTCGGCAGGAAGGTGCGTGAGCTCGAGGGATGGGAGACGGAGATGAACTATTACCTTGGGCGACAAATACAGCAGCCCATTCACTTACCGGCTCCGCGGCGGGCGGTGGCTTGGCCCCCTCTGGCCCAACCCGATCCGCCCGCCGTTACCATGGAGGCACTTCCGGCTAAGGCGGGACTAGAACCCTGCATGTGGCGACTTCTTCTATCGTACGCTCCGTGCTGCTACGGACACAGACGGAACTTTCTGTCAATGACGTGCACAAGGAAAAGGCGGGAACAAACGAACCCACTGACTTTAATTACCATCATCCAACACACCTTTGGGCTTCCTAACGCACCGCTCTCTCTACAGGCTTTGGCTCATTATACATTCTCATTGTACTACATTTCCCAGCATTCCGCAGGGTCAAGGTAAACCGAATTCCTTCCGTGGGGGGGGGGGGGCGAGGGTGTAGTTGGAAAGAAGGTTGTGTCGGAACGGGCCAGTCGTAGAAGTTCTTGAAGCCTATAGCATAGTAGGGTCATTGCCCAATGACGTCATCGAGCCAGGAGCGGAAGTGGGTGGGGGAAAGGGATGCTGCTGTTTCCTTTTTTGCAATCGTGGAGTTTACGTGCTAGGCTGGGTATCTGTTTGTTCCTACCGTGTAGGGATTACTTTCCTCGGTCTCATCACTGTAGCTACCGGTGTTCGCTCTTCTCTCGCTTTGAGTGCTGTAGTCTCTGGCCCTTCCAGCGTCACCCATGGGTGCCAGTAGCTCCTCCTCTTCCTTGGGTGCTGCTGGATCCCCTCCCTGGGAGCATCTCTGTCTAGCGCTCCGAGCCTTTAGTCTCTAATTCTGTTTTCTTCCCAACAGGTAGGGGATCTTTCCTCCGCTTCCCACCAGATCCAGCCCCACAAAGGGCTCCATGGAGTTCCCAGATCTCGGTGCTCACTGCTCGGAACCGTCCTGCAAGCGTCTTGGTGAGAACTCGTTCTCGACCTGTCGGCTCTCACATGTGAACCCATTGCTTGTTTCTCTTTAGCAGTTTGAAGGAATGCCCAAAAACCGCTCCCAGGCAGGCAGCATCTGAGGAATAGTGAGAGAGAGTAGTGGTTGTAACTGCAGCATGGGAACTTGGATGGTCTAGGGCTTGTTGTGGAAGGAATCACATCTGGTATTTGCACTTCCATAAAGGGGTGTGCCTTAAGCCAAGCACAACTGTGAGGAATGTTCTGGAAAAATTTCCTGCTAAAATAATCCTTGTACATGTGTAGGAGCTTTGAGTAAAGACAAGCTGTCTGCTGTATTAGCATAATAGGCACGTTGTCTTCACTTTTCAAAGGCTTCTGTTAGCAGCCCATAAGATATTTGTTTAATTTCTATACCACCCAACAGATGTTTTATACTCAGAAGCTCTCTGGGCAGTTCACTGCAACATATTAAAATATATATAAAATGTTCCAATTAAGCATGTTCAAACCATTAAAAGTTGGCAATATGAAATTTAAAACCAAATAAAAAACAGAAAAACAAATTATGCATTAATAAGACCCAGTTAGATCCTGTCCAACAATCAGCAGGGCCCAGTAACTTATTAAATACCCTGTAATAGAGGATGGGCTTTACCTCATGCTGAAAAGAAAATAAAGTTGATGCCAGGTGGGTCTCAGTGGAGAGCTCATTCCATAATTGGGGGCCACTACTGAAAAGACTGTTCTCCTTGTTGCCCCCATCTGAGCCTCCCTCGGAGGTGCCAATTGGAGAAAAGCCCCAGAATCTGATCATAGCGTCCAGGTAGATAGATGTTGGGAGAGGCATTCCATCAGGTATCATGGTTCCAAGCCATGTAGGGCTTTATAAGTCAAAACTACTTGAATTGCTTTTATATGATTAGACTAATCTGGCTGCCACATTTGTAGAAGCTGCAGCTTTCAAACAGTTCTCATGGGCAGCCCCATGTACAGTACATTACAGTAGTTAGCTTAAAGGTTACCAGAACATAGATCACTGATAGCAAGCCATCTCCAGGTGTAGCTGAGCTACCAACTGAAGCTGGCAGAAGGCACTCCAAACCACTGAAGGCACTTGGGCCTTAAGGGACAAAGATGGCTCAATGAGCAGCCCCAAGCTGCAAACCTGCTCCTTCAAGGGGAGTGGAACTCCATCTAGAACAGGTTGGATTTCCTCCATTTGGCCAGAAGAACCACCCACCAACAGCATCTCAGTCTTGTCTGAACTGAATTTCAGTTTTTTATTCAGTTCACTGCTGTGGCCAAGCACCAGTTCATCACATTCATAGCCTCACCTGCTGAAGATGAAAAGGAAAGAGGTAGAGTTGCATGTCATCAGCATACTGATAGCAACCTACTCCAAAACTCTGGATGATCTTACCCAGAGGTTTCATGTAGTTAAGTAGCATGTTTAGGTAATCATTGCTGACTTGTGGGAATTGACTTGGGAGGACTTCAGAAGTGTTTTCTGTGGTCTGCTGTAATGCAACTGTATTGATAGTATGTTGGAGCTTGGGTGATATGCCAGATATTGGCTGTAGTACATCCTTTGTATCTGAAGCACAACACTTTAAAAGCCTGGCTCAAATTGTGTTTGCATAAATGTAGATACTTTGCTTTCTAAAACAATTCTCTGTGGAGATGCATCTTTGGTATTTTCCCAGTGGAGAACTTTGCTTTGGTACATAAAGTAGTGGCATACACTGTTTTTCCAGAAGAAACAAGGCGAGTACTGATGATCATGATACAGCCCTTGTTTTTTTATTAGCTATGCCTATGTCCTGTGGGTATTGGCTCAGATCTATGTAACTTCAGAGAACCCTAATTTAAGATGATGAATATGATGCTTAGAGTTTGGAAATACTTATGGATTTTGTTTGCTTCAGCTTGAAGGGGTCTCCCTACCTCATAATGTTGATATATGCTTGAACTAGGGATGTACATATGTTGACCAATCTATTTTCCCTGTGTTTTGTGGATTGTCAGGCATCTTTCATTCTCTTGTTTTCTCACTGGTGGATTTCATAGCTGAATATCTGATGGATTTTTTGCACAAGATTTTTGTTCATTTGCAAGTGCAGTTTAACTAAATTGTGCAAATCCCACCTCCCTACCCAAGAAAAATGCTGGTCTGAAGGTTGATGTGACTTGGAAAAAGCTGATCTGTTGAAGTATCTGCACCCATCTGAATTCTGTGCAGAATTCTCTGATATTGTTAGTTTGACTAGAGAGTGCTTAAGAATCTGTCTATGGTAAGAAGTTTCACCGAGGAGGCCTGATCTTTCTTGCAGTCTTGTGTAGTATGTTGGGATGAAATACAAATCTTGGAACTATCACTTTGTGCATAAGGAATAATAAAGTTAAACTTGGTTGGCTTTAAAAGGAGGTTAACAATATGTTTCTGAATACCAGTTTCCAGAAAGCACAAGAGGGAGGTATTTACATTCTGCCGCTGGGCTTTCCATAGAGACCTGATTAATGACTGTGCAGATAAGACACTAGACTTGATAGGGCTTCAGTCTGATCCAGCAGTGCATTTCTTATTTTATGATGTAAATCTCATAGTTTGTGAGACTGAAGGTCAGACCTGGGGCTGAAATGCCTGTGCAGTTGAAAGCAAACTCCTCCTAATGTGAAGAGATTCGCAAGGCCAGGTTTTCATGTTTGGGAACATTTTTCTTGATAACCCACACTTTTTCTACTGTATGCCACATTTTTCTGCCTACCAAGCCATCTGCTGTGTACTCTGGTTCTAGCTATGTTCCTTGATAGCCAAAAAATGTGTCTTTCAATTCCACCCGTAAAAGCATTTTTCTTTGTCTCTTTAAGATCCTGTGGGGAAATGGAGTTTTGAATGTGACATTAATATGTTAAATTGCACTGGGTGGATAATAGAGGAAAGAATATTCCATCTATTATCTAACTGAACATCAGAAAAAAAGAAGGGGTGTCATGTTTCCCCCTTCTTTTTTTAACCAGGTCTTTCTATCTGCAGTCTCCTTTAGTCACTGATTATCGTAACACATTGCTTGTATTCAAATATGATGGTGTTGGAGCAACTTACCTGTGAGGAACAGTTACAACTACTAGGATGGTTTAGCTTAGCTATAAGGCAATTAAGGGGGAAATGACAAAGGTCCTTAAAATGCTGTGAAGAAAGTGAAGAGCGAGACATTTTCCTGCCTCTCCCATAATATTAGAACCTGGTGTTACCCCATGAAGCTAAGTGAAGAATTGAGGGAGCAGTTCTTCATGCAGCGTAGAGTTAAACTATAGAATTCTCTGCTGCAGAAAGTAGTGATGCCTACCAACTTGGAGAGCTTTAAAAGGGGGTTAGACAAAAGGGAAGAAGAAGGTTATCGATAGCCATGAGCCTTCCTGGCTGTGTGCTACCTCCATTAGTAGAAGCAGTATGCCTGTTTGCACCAGATTGAAGAGCTTGGGCAGGTGGTACGCTTGTAGTCATCCTGCTTGAAGGATCCTGCTTGAGGGTGGGCAGCCAGTGTGTCACCATGTGAACAGATTGCTAAATTGGATCGACCATGGCTTTTCTTATGTTCTTGCATATTCTTACCTACCCATTACATTCTTGGGTGAAGAAAATGACATGTGTCCATAAATAAAGCTAATCTGGAAGCCCTCTGTCATGGCATCCAGTAGAATGCCTAGTTATCCACAGAAGGGCTGAAGGAGAGACAGTGATAGCTGTTCCTTGTGTGGTCTTTTTCTGCTCTCAGATTTTCTCCCTCTGAAATGTGATGCTTGCGAACAGCTCTTCTGCACTGACCATGTTGCCTACGCCCATCACCACTGCACTTCTGCATACAAGAAGGTACGTAAAATTGGTGGGAACAGCATTTGGAGTCAGGCGCTCTCTGAGACATCAGATGCACTCTCAGCAATCATGTAGAACATTGATTTTGTCCTGGCCAAAGAGCAAAGGGCAGTTGAATCCCTGTAGTGGTGGAAGCTGGTTGGCTGGAACCCCAGAAAGAGAAGTGAAGAAGGAAGCGTATGGTTAGACGTAATATAGCCCTGTTCCATGCTGATGCAGGAGATCCTTGTGACAAAACTGTGGCTCTATCTCAGATGGTGTACAGGCCATGAAACTCAGTAGGTATTGTGTTTTTCACTTGCCTGAAAAGAAAGTGATAGTGCTTTTTCTCAAAGAAAGTCAAGTGTCACATATCTAAAAACCCACAGGAGACCATCTCTTGCTCAGAATACCTAATCTTGAGGTTGAATGTCCAGTTCATTGCTTGTCTGCCCCCATCCGGCCTTTTGTTTTTGCTGAAAGTTGTTGGAAAAGAAACTGGTTTTGCAGTTCAAAGGACACCTGATTCCTGTTAAATCCTTGATCACCTACCATGGTGTCTTCCCACCTAAGCAGGGAACTGACACTGTCTGTTTTTGGCCTTGAATGGTGATCTCTGCCAGAAGGTCAACAGGAGGCCTTGCTCTATTGAACTTTGAAGCCATTAATCAAAATGTGTGAGTGACATAGTTGAAGGACCTGCCACCAGTGTCCTTTGTGTTGCATTCAGTAAATTCTTAGTGAATGGTGATCAGAGGTTGTTAGCTCTCTTTTACATCATGTTTGTCAAGGCTTTTCAGCCTGAGGGCCAATTTCAGTTTCCTAGAAGTTGTCTGAGCAGGAGCAGAGCACATTCCAGTGCAGCTGGGGCAAAAGGCTATTCTGGGATTGATGATTGCTTGAGCTGACTGCTGGTCATTTGTCTGGGCTTTTTACAGACAACTGTTAATCCACTATCAGTCCCATTAATAGCAAACTCAGGTGGTGATTGTTGACAGAAATTGAGCCAAAAAAGGACGCTGAGAAATAACAGAGAATATCCCAGGTATCCTGAGCTTTTCAGAGGATAGATATAAATGCTTAACAGTGTTTTTTAAAGTCAGCTTAATAATGTAAAACTGAGTGTTCTTATTTAGAAAAGAAAAGAAAAAATAGGAGGAAGAAAGCCCAGAGCACCCTGCTTGGAAAGAATGGCTCTCTGGAAGTTTGAACAGGAGCACTCCTATTAAAAGGACGTAAACCACTGGAGCGCTCTTGTTGTAGGTCTGTCTTGTCATAGTCTTGAATAAAGGTGTAAAGGGACTGGCATTATGGACCAGCCCGACCTTCATTCTGTCCCCAGGATGTCCAGGTCCCTGTGTGCCCACTTTGCAGCACACCAATCCCTGTGAAGCGAGGAGAGATGCCTGATATTGTCGTGGGAGCACACATTGATCAGGACTGCAAATCGGACCCAGCTCTGCGCAAGCGCAAGGTAGGAAGCTGCAAACCCTTCTCTGCTACCTTTTGCTTGAGTCCACCAGATTGTGGACCTTTTGCTTTGAGTCCACTAGACTGTGTGCTATTTAGGGCATCGTCTGTTGAGTCAGGACAGCCTGATAGGAGCTAAACCCCAGGGGATATGAGATGTCCCCCAAGGGGAGTGGATATAGGTTCTTCCATGCAAACTTGCTTCTGTGAACTAGTAGGGATAACTAGAAAGGACCAGAATCAGAAAATTGTTGAAAGACTATATTCAGTGACAAGTGATAAACAGCAATGAGACATGAGAGCTGTGTATCTGTGAAAAAGCAGGTATGTGTAATGAGTGATTGGAAGAAGAAATGTGAATGTATAAAATGAATAGTGCAATGGGGATATAAAAATCACAGCAATGTACACAAGAATTAACAAGGAAATAACCAAATGACCAACACTAAAACAGATATAATTTTAAACTGTAGCCTCCTAAACTTCATCCAGTCCAAACTAGTTAGTTTACTACGTTCTCAGCTATATAGTTGCTTGACCTAAAGCTTAAGGGAGGCCTATAGTTACCTGACCCAAATGGACAAGTCATGCTGTTGTGGACTCAGATGTTAACATGTTTTTGTTAATTGGGTTTATTTATTTATTAGATTTATAGAACCGAGTAGCCCCAAACAGGACTCCCTGGGCAGCGTACAAGCAACAACAAGACATTATCATATATATATTAGACAATAGATATTGTTTAAAAATCTATTTAAGAACATAAATGACAGCTACATAATATTTTTAACTCATTTCTTCATCCGTTACTACATGGGTAGGCAACCTGATGTCCTTGGACTACAACTCCCATAAGCCCCATCCAGCCCATGGACAGGGGTTCTGAAACTTGTAGTGCAAACCGTCTCGAGGCATCAGGCTGCCTTCCCCTGCTTAGAGAGGCTGTGGCTGTGTAGGCTTCCTAGCCTCTGGTATTCACCTAGGATGAAGCAGACGAGTCTCGATCCCCCTCCGCACTAGCAAGCCATTCTGCCTCCGCCAGTCATAACTGTGTCCTTCTACCTAGATTTTCACCAACAAGTGTCAGCGGCCTGGCTGCAAGCAGCGGGAGATGATGAAGGTTCTCTGCGATCAGTGTCATGGCAACTTCTGCCTCAAGCACCGGCACCCACTGGACCACGGCTGCAATGGGGCCGGGCACTCTCTCTCCAAGGCAGGGTAACAGCAGGGCGGGGGCCTCTCTGGGCAAACGTGTGGGCAACAGGCACAGATACGGCCTTTTCCATGCACATCCATCTGCAATGGACAATGATACACACGTCCTCGCCCGTCTTTGGTTGTTCTTACAACTTTGTCAAAGTATCGTGCAGTACAAGGTGCTGCCTGCCCTTTCAGCAGTGCTACTGAGATGTGTGCTTCTTGTGCTTTGCTTAGCTGGGCGGTGTGTGTAGTGTGCGTTCGCTGAGAGGGCAAGACGTAAGCGTCCCACAAGTTATTGCCAGTGCCTAACGAACAATGGTGCCAAAGTGGGATTTTGTTAGTCTCATGGAAGCAGGGGGAGAATGGGTTGCTCTGGTGATGCAGGTTGCATCCTCTGTTTCAGGAATGCTGCCATTGCCAGGGCTCAGAAGTCTGCCAAAGCATCGACAAGCACTACATCCACCAGCGGAGCTGTGGGATTGGTTGCGAACCCACCAACCGCCAGCCGGTACACCACTGACCCACCTCTTCCTTTTCTCTACTCTTTCTCCTCTAGCAGCTGCAGCCTCCATAGACACTGTCACTGTTCTGATCCCTGACCCTTCTCTTCCGCTAACATTTATCTAAGCCTGCCTGGTAGTACCTTTGAACCCGATCCACCATTACTGTGCATGTTATAAAACAAGGTCTCAGTTCAGTCCTCCTTTCCTCTTCCTCATGGATTTCCTGGGTTTGTGTCACAAATCCTTAGTCCAGATTTCCCCTAGCCTTGTACCCACCCAAGGTGTCAGCCTCTGCAAGGCAGAGCTGACTGGGAGATTATGAGCGCTGTGATCTGATGCATTAGGTGGGCACCAGGTTAAGGGAAGGCTGCCTTGACTGATAATGCCAGTGGGTTTTCTCTTCCCAACTTCCACATCTCATGAGTTGTGCCAGCTGACATCTCTTTTCTTGCACACAGAGCCAGCGAGATGGCAAGAGCACCTCGGCCCCAAAGCACCTCTCCACCAGCCATTACCTTGCAGAATGGACTGGTAAGTGGTGGCCAGTAAACAAGACACTCAAACCATTATGCGCACATTTCCTTTCTCATGAGGCATGTGCCCCTCCCTCCAACTGCCAGGAAAGTGGCTATTCATTGCACCTCAAAGCATGCCAGGTGCAGCAAGGACAGAGAAAGAAAATGGGGGCACCGTCAGCTGTCCTGAGAAGCCAGAGTCATGGAGCTTTGCCTCTCCTAGCTGTAAGCCAGCAGCAATTCAATCAGGCTGCAGTAGAGGGAGAGACTGGAAGCAAAGCTACTCCCTTGGCTCAGCTGAGACCAACAATTATCAGCTCCTCTTGTCACTGAGCTGCTTCTGTTCCATAATTAGGCTGCCAGCAGAGTCTAACCACATTATAGTTATCACAACATTGTATTTGTTCATTATAAGAAACTTCTAAATGTTAAAGAAAGGCCTTCTCCATGGTGCTGTCCAGATGTTTGGGACCAGGTCTGGGAAGGCTGCATTCAGAATCAGTGTCTGAGCTTGCTTTCTTCATTGCTCTTCCACATCTCTCTTTCTTGTGTCATGTCTTTATCAGTGTAAGTCTGTTTGTATTTATCTGTAAATTGTCCTGGGAGTCTTTGTGACTGAAGAGCAGCGTAGAAATGCTTTAAATAAATCTCTCTTTCTCAGTGAATAGTTGAGAAAAGGAAGATGACACTTGACACTGGTTTTCTCCTTCACAGTAGGGTTTCATAAAATCTATTTAGGGTGTGCCATTGCTGTGGGGCTGCTTTTCTAGAGAAAAGGAAGGAATAAGAATCTGAGCATTACTTTTTCTGGAACCCAGCTTGCCTCAAGGAGCTTGTAGATCCAGTTTTTGAGGGTGTATGCTGATCTTTGACTTATTTTGTTGTCTTTCATATTTGCAAAACCAGTGCATGCAAATTTAGTTTTTATGTCAAATGGATTAATTTGCACAAATTCTTGTGGACTGTGCAAATAGCAAAAAATAAATCCAAGCCCTTATTCTTGGGATATGCCTTGCCCCACAGGTAGTACAGGCTAACTTGAGCTTTGTGTCTCATTTCAGAGTGAGGAGGAAGCACTGCAACGAGCCTTGGAGATGTCCCTGGCAGAGGCCATGCCTGCACAACCACAACCCCACAGGTACTGCAGAGACTGGTTGGCTTCAGGGCTATACAAATGCCATCATTCAGGGCTGCCTGCATTGCACCTGCATGATAGGGGCCAGTGTAATGATCATGTCCAAACTGCAGTGCTGGCAGGGCTGCCTCTCATCCGAGTGCAGATCTGCTGACATGGGGGTCAACCATTTCCTCCCGACTCTGTTAGCCTAAGCATTCAGAGCCCCTCTGTTTGTCATGCTTCTGAGCATTAGGTGTACACCAAGGGATAAGCAACCAGCGTAAGAACTGCGAAGGGCTTCCTAGTTCAGGATGGGTCTGGCAGGAAGTTGGGGAGAGGAGGATCTTAGTCGGGATTCATCCTGTCCTTGTATCTGGAACAGCACCCAGGAAGAAGAAGACCTAGCATTGGCCCGAGCAATTTCAGCCAGTGAGGAAGAATACCGGCGGCAACAGCAGCAGCAACAGGTGAACAAGATGAAGAATTTCCACAAATAATTCCCCCATTCTTCTGTGTGTAGATTTTGCCAGTCCACCGAGGCTATCTTGTGAGTATAGAAGACTCTTCTGTGTCTCAGCAAGGAAATCGGAAGGCCAGTCCAATCCTGGAGACCAAACTGGTGTCTTCCAGCCACCCCTGGATCTTTTTCTTGACAACTTTTCAGAATTATGGATAGTGGATAGTTCATTGGCTCTTAGTTTGGCTTTTTAAAAAATGAACTAGAATACATTGTCTTGCATTCTTCTATAGGAGATAAGGAAAGATCTTGAAAGTTCAGGCAGATTCATGGAGCAGGGGCTCAACAACAGCTTAATGCAGTTTAAGTTACTCCTTAACCAGCTGTTGTAGATCCTGCAGATGAGCTATCATAACAGAGCAAGTGAGCTTTTTGAGTGGTGTTTGATTCTTTGTGCCTATTCTCATAGCAAACGGCCAGCCTAGTCCTACTGAGAGAGGAGAGAGGGTGGCACTCCCATTTCTAATGGTTCTTACTCTTTTTATGTTTGTGTCCTAGGCCCGAAGCACAAAACCATCCAACTGCTGCTTGTCCTGAGCACAAGAAGAATCAGGCAGCCTGGGAACCATGCCTGGCCACTGTGATGGTTCCCGCCAGAGTTGACCTCCCTCCACTGCTCCTTCAGGGCTTGTGACAGTGAACTGAAGGCGGAACCCCTGCCTGGCCCTCATAGAGTCACTGTCTTTGCCACACAGCTGGAGTATCTTGTATGGTGACCATGCACACCTTCTGGGACAGGTGGAATCTTCCTCCCACTGTCGGAGTTGCGGCAACTTTGGGGTGGCAGTCCGCAGTTCCACTGCCAGAGCCAGGGCTAGCACAGGTTTCAGCAGGGAAGGGGGATGAGCTGGCAGGCAGCACTGGCATCAGCTGAGTAAACGTCCAGCTGTTCTGTGTGGGAACATCCCATAGATGAGTGGAGTTTGATGGAGAGAGGCCCATTCCCTGTCTCGTCGTTATCTCAGCTTGTGGTAGTCCCATAATTGGACAGTAGGTGGTGCTGAATGCTTCTATTAAAGTGAGGGATTTTTCCCACCTTGCTGAAGTGGGGGAGACCTCTCCCTAAAGCTGCTGTCCCTATAATTTCTTCAGATGATGCAATGTGGGAGTCCCCTGGAGAGATGTGGTTCATGGAACGGCCACAGCAAATGAAAGGAGGCACCTCTGGGGCCTGTTCCATGTAATCCTTTCTCTGGGGGTTGCACCTTCCCCTTCTCTGTGCTTTGGATAACCCTACTGCTGCCAGCCCCTGGCCAGAACTCTGACACTTAGCCCCCACCCCCCAAGTCTGCCAAAGATCCGCCTTGAGGCAACCAGGAGTCAACTGGTGGCACCGTAGTGGTAGGGAAGGGCATTTTCCACTTCCAGTAGATGACCAGCTGCTTTAGATTGCATGTTTCAAAGCTGGCTGGCTCCAGGTGGCACCCATACCTCAGTGACCACATGGATGTCTGTCTGATGCATGCGGTGGTCAGACACAGTTTTCTACCAGGTGTAGATTTTCTTTTTTAACAGCCTTGGGCTTCCAGCTGTATGATCAGCAGCAATTATTGTGTCTCCCTCCACAGGGGCCTCTTCACTATCCAGCAGTTTGTGCCTTTGCTGTATTAACTACAGGGTTGTAAGAGGGAATATTTCCTGGTGGGAACCAATAAACTCATAGATGCAAATAACTTATCCTTTGCTTTCATGTTTCAGAGCACACAGAACATGTTATTTGATCTATATTTGTATTTATTTCAAAAACTCTATACTGCTTTTTCATTATAAAAAATCTCAAAGTGGAGCACAGTGTAAAATCATGAAAAATACAAGAAAACCAATCATCAGAACAATGAAACAACTCAGTAAAATCTTAATTAAAATTACTAGGAGTCATTTTCAATATTAGTGGTCAGAGAGGTGTCTAGTCAAACCAATGTCTTCCATTGTCAGCAGAAGCACTTTGAATAAATTGAGAGATGACATTCCAAAAGCAAATGACCAACAATAACACATTCAACTTACAGATTTATAATTTTAAAAAGATAAGATTTTAAAGGTGTGCAACTTTTCAGCATAAAACGTAGGCTTCAGTCACAAATAATATGCTTCAGTGCCACTTATAAATGGCATGAATGAATCAAGAACAGGCTGAGCTTCAATGGGGAAAACAAAGATTAACAGTAAGTGTTGTTATTAGTCGCGAAGTTGTGTCCGATCCATCGCGACCCCATGGACAACATTCCTCCAGGCCTTTCTGTCCTCCACCATCCCCCAGAGTCCACTTAAGCTCACACCAACTGCTTCAATGACTCCATCCAGCCACCTCATTCTCTGCCGTCCCCTTCTTTTCCCGTCAATTGTTCCCAGCATTAGGCTCTTCTCCAGGGAGTCCTTTCTTCTCCTTAGGTGGCCAAAGTATTTGAGTTTCATCTTCAGGATCTGGCCTTCTAAAGAGCAGTCAGGGTTGATCTCTAGGACTGACTGGTTTGATCACCTTGCAGTCCAAGAGACTCGCAGGAGTCTCCTCCAGCACCACAATTCAAAGGCCTCAGTTCTTCGGCGCTCAGCCTTCCTTATGATCCAACTTTCACAGCCATACATTGCAACTGGGAAAACCATAGCCTTGACTATATGCAGTTTTGTTGGCTGGGTGATGTCTGCTTTTTAGTATGCTACATGCAACAACCAAATCAAGCTGCCTTAATAAATACCATGGACTTGAGTTTTAGTTGATGGATAAACATTCCCTCCATCTTTCTCATTTACAGGCTCTCTATTTTCATTAGTATTGCTCTGCCAGCATGTTTCTTCCTCATGTGAAGGGCCCAAGGTTTAGCATGTGTTTCATTAGCTGAATATTAGCCAAGTGCACTTAAGATCTTCTTAGGAAAAGTCTTCTAGTTTCCCTGAAGTAAAAAGAATAATAAACGCTTCATTTTGTAAATGACACTCATTAATGCACACTCCATATTGCCTCCCACAAGGATAGTCCTGTGTCCAGCATTTGTTAATACAGCCAAGACTTCACAAGGTGTTTCAATGTCACAAGGTCAGTACAAGTTAGACTTCATGTTAAGCCACCCAACCATCTCTTGGGCAGTCCTTTGGTGTACTTCACACTCCAGATGACTGGAACTGGTTGCCTGTAACCATTAGCCTCTGCCAGTTTATTGCATTTTGTTTTGATTGCTCAGGATAATTGTTCCGAATCATGTTCTTTCCTGTCTTGTCTTTTTACTTCCACAGGGTGTGCAAAATTAACATTCCATCATGTGTATCCCTTTTCATAGATTTTCCATACAACTTTGTTTCAAACTGCCTATTACCAGTCTTTAATTGCACATCCAAAAACAAGCCAGCCATCTATATTTGACTGCTCCTGTGCTCATTGTATACTATCTTTTCATTAAATCAAACTACTTCTAAGTTTCTATCTTCAGTTAATTGAATGATTGGTAATGGGTGCTTTTCCCCCCAAGCTTGAAGTAGAGGTCTATTTGCAACTTCAAGGGCTCTCAGAATCCACTTTGCAGTTCATCTGTTAATCATACATCAAAGGGATGTAATTTAATAGTGCAGTTACATCTGCTAATATCACTGAACTTTCAAGAACAAAATTTATAAGAACAATAACTTGCGAACCCCCCCCCAAAAGCCACTGCAGTACAAGATCACATCATATGCTTCAATAAGACCTCAGCATCTAGCTGAACTAGCTGGTTTCTTAACAAATGTCCAGTATACACTAACCATTTTTTTAGTCTGTTTAACATCTACAAAAATAGTACATAAGGAAGATAAGGCAACCTTCCATTGATTCGAGAGCCAGTGTGGGATAGTTGTTAAGAGTACTAGACTAAGACACTGGAGATCTGGATTCTGGTCCCCACTCAGTTATGAAGCCCACTGGGTGCCTTTGGACCAGTCATGGACTCTTGGCCTCACATACCTCACAGGGTTGTGAGGATAAAAATGGAGTGGAAGAAGCCACTTTGGGTTCCTCAGCAAGAAGAAAAAAGGTGGGATCTCTAATATAATAATTTGTATACAGTATTTTAGTTCCTTATTCCATTCTTCTCTGACCTGAACATCGACATTCCAAAAGACTTGTTTATCACTGATTACTGTAGGCTTCGTTTTCTGTAAGGAATCCATTCATTCTTCCAACAGTGCAGGAAGCACCAAAGCACTTGTTACTTCTGGCATGTGCATGGACTCCAAAAATGCTGAATGTATTGCCAACTAGCACCAGATGACAAATGATACTCATTTGCCGTACTGAAATTTTTAAAACTGATCTAACATGATCCAAAGTATAAACTCCATTATCAGTCCATATAGTCCTACTTGGCACATTATACCTTTTGATACAGGTCTTGCGGCGACAGGCTGCACATGAACTTAAGAAAGACTTCACTGTTTTATCCGGTTTCACTTCATGGATAACTTAAGCTTTTTATAAGAAGCAAATAAAATAATCTTTCTCCTCAGATAAGGCCTTTCATTTAATAGCACAGGGCATGGTTGTATCCTTATCTCAAAATATTCATTAAGTTTAGAAGCCATCTGTATTATAAAATTACCATCATTAAGAAATGAAACATCATGTGCCAAGTGCCAAAAAATTTAATCAAGTTGGGGGATTTAATTCCTAAATAGTCTGGCGAATGATCTGCAGTAGGTAGCATATCAAATATCAAATGCTGTTACACACTAAAGTAATCAAGAAGAGATTGAAAATAGTCTCTAGTGAAAAAACAATTCTGATGAACAGCTGAAAAAAAAGTGTAATCCTGCCCCAGAAGATGCAACATATGCCAGGCATCAATCAAACCCAACTCAGAGAGAGAGGCCTCCAACAGATGAGATTAGAACTTGAGAGGGTGATCACTTTTGTCCAAAACCGGACCTAAAATTGCATTAAAATCCCCACTGCTTATCAAATGATTATAAGTCATTGAAGGAAAATGACTAAGGCAACTATAAATCATAATCCTTTGGGATCAGCTCTTGCCTATAACACTGAGACAGGTCCTTTTTCTGAATAGGTGTAACTACTTATTTACCTTTCTTAGAATCACCACTAGCATAAACTTCTAGCCAATCCTTGCAAAGTCTTTCTTTGCTTCCACCAAAAGATAAGTTTCCTGTAACAGCAACATCTGGAGCTCCTTAAATTTGGAAAACACTCGTTTTTGTTTGTTGGAAGTACCCAGACCACTAACATTTCAAGTAATTAAAGTGGATAATGATACACTAGTTAGAGTCAGCCAAGAAAATAATAAAACACATCAATTATATCTGAAATAAGTATGCCCAATATTCCATGTTCAATACCTACAGAGCCTTGCAAAAGTCTCATACATAAGGAATCATATTCTATTGGAGTTGGAAGATAAATCACTGTTCCTTTTGTATATTTTTGAAAACATGCCATCTTCGCCAAACAATTCATTTACAAGCTGTTCACCATTCCATAATCAAAATATCCAAGACCATAGCTATGATGCTTATAACAAGTAGCCAGAGTAATTAAGTCTTACATTAAAAGGGAAACTGAAAAGAAAAACAATTAAAACAGCAGCCAACCATATCTTGCCCCCTCGTACAACAAAAATAAAATGAATACCACAAGAAATTGAAGAGTCCAAAGGGTCCATTAAGGAAAAAAATAACATGAAAACCAATGTGGCAGGGTTGGACTGGGAAGTGAGAAATCTGGGTTCTAGCCCCACTTGGCCATGAAGCTCCATGGGTGACTTTGGGTCATTCACTGCCTCTTAGCCAAAGGTGGTTGTGCAGTGTGTGTGTGGTGGGGGGCGGGGGAGCTGGTATTCCTTTCTCTTTGGTAGCTCTTCTTGTCATCATTGAGCCAGACAAAGGGGGAAAAGCAACAACATGTAGTTGGTAAGAAAGAAAACCCTCTCTCCAAAGTGAGAGTTGGAAAATCAGGCCGTTACCCAAATAAGGGGCAGAGCATGCAGGATCCAGCCACAACTTGACCAAATACATTGCCAACGTAAGTGGAAGCCCACAGAGACAGCATCTTACTAGGATTCACTTTCAGCTGGTTGGTCCTCAGCTAGCTCGTCATGGCTTCCAAGCGCTGGTCTGGGCTGTGCATGGCTGACTCAGATGCATAGAAATAAACTTGGTGCCAATTTGCCCCAAATCCCCTTGATAACAGGGCTGTGCCCACTGGCACTCACAGCACAGCTGCTGTGGGGCCAATGTAGGATTCTACTCTCTAGAACCAGCCCTTCAGGTAGGAAAGGAACCACCACAAAGCACTGCCCATCTTGACGGAGCCTTTCCCAAGGAAATTCCACAGTCACTGGGAAAGTGAAGCAGCAGAGTTGCACTTCCTCAGTCCTGATAAAGGTTGCCAGGGTGACCAAGGCCAATAGGCAACTGGGCTGGTTTTGCAAGTACAGGACCCTTACACAATCTGGAAGTCTAATTCAAAATGTTAACCATGCAGCCCACCCATTTTTTGCACCACAATGTACCTGCTTGAAGGCAAGAGACAAGAGCACATGAAGACTGAGAAGACTATCCAGTATTCATCCTACATTCTTATTATTGTTGTTGCATCAGCCTACAGAAATTTTATTGTACACAGATGTTTTTATTGCAGGCAAATCTGTTTTAAATTATTTTAATTGTTGGATTTTGTATATTTTAATTA